TATTTTGCTGTTTGGAGTAAAGGAACTTGATATACAAAACAAAGAGTCATAGCTGAACTACACACAGTAGGTGAGTTCGGAATGGTAGAAAGTGTCGACACTTTTTACACTATTGACACTATGGCGTTCGTTAATTGGTAGGAGTGTTTGGTGTAGGCACACTGTTTTTGCGTTTGGAAATAATTTGTTTTCCGAATGGTGTTAAGATGGTGGGACACCGTTTACTCGGTACAAAATGATGGTGTATTCGGTGTACACCGCCGATTACACCTTCATCACGTGATATAACACTGCAGTACACGAACACTGCTCTAGCACTGCACTAAAATCCCATTCCGAACTCAACTAGTAAAGAAGGTAGATGTAAAGTTATCCTGTGACATGAGCCTACAAAGACTAGGAAAATACAACACAGAACAGGTGAGACCTATTTAAATAACCTTCACACCCAAAGATCATGCAACTAGACAACACTGCTGAAGTCTACATAAAGAGTGACTAAAAACTCAGATGCAGAGAAAATCTTCAGCAGATCTCTTAGCTGAACTTGAAAGATGAAATTGACATAAATATCAAATAGATTACCTTCATACCCAAAGTTGTTAAAGTTAAAGAACAATCAAGAAACTAAAAACATACCTAATTGAAGTCTCTCCTGTGGTATAGCAATCTGTGTTGTATGACAAACAAGATTGATGAACTAAAAGTAAGTATACAAACCACCAACGCTTGCATAATTCTAATCACCGAAACATGGTTAAATAATTGCATTCCAGATAGCCTGATCCATATACAAGGTCACATAATGTTACGCAAAGACAGAGGAGACGTGTGTTTTTGTAAAAAAATATGTTGTAGGGCACAAAGTTCATGCAACACTGAACCAAAATTTTGCCATCAGGACTCATTGAATCCCTATGGATTGATATTGTCTTAAGGGCCTGTTTATTCACCTTCTGATAAACTGTCAGGTAGGTATACGATATGACGGATAAAAACGCAATCTGTAATCTCATTGGACCAATACAATTATAGAACGGTAAATTTATCTTGCAGATAGTTACCAGCAAGTTTATCTGAGGATGAATAAACCGGTCCTAAGAAAGATAAAATTTCTTATAACATTTACAGGTCTAAACAAAAAATAGGCATAGAACACAATACTTACAGAACAGAAGTTATTGAAAATGTAATGTCTCTAAAACAACCGGTATAGTAGACTTCAACTATGTTACCCCGAAATAAACTGGAAAATAAACTAGAAAATATTGAAAGTATAACCGCAAAACCAGTGTAATCAAGATTTTCAGGACAGCTGCAAAAACCTACAAGGTTCCATTACGGAACATCTCTTTTAGACCTGCTTATTGTAAATGTGAGAAAAATAATTTTTGATGTTCAAGAACATGCACCCCTTAGAAAAAGTGACCACATTATAATAACTACCAAAACACAGCATCAAATAATTGCACAGCCTACACATAAAATCTACAAAAAGAACTTTTGGTACAAAAATTGCCTAATCGGACCTTAGATTTTCTTATGGAGATTTACATGGGAAAATGGATGAAATTACGCCAGAACCGGCATAGCACCTTTACTGCAGATTACACTGAAGTAAACACCTTTCAGCAACAACTTGCACAGGCTATTAACCCACATTCATTTGAAGAATTCTCTGAGGTTTTGGGATTTATAATCAACAAGCATATGCCATACACAGTACACACCACACAAAGTTAATGCCCAAAAACCATGGTCAACTAAGGCAGTATCTAGAGAAATACAAAGGAAAAGAGACTTGTGGCACAACAATACTGAATAAAGTTACCAACAGTACCAGCATCAAAATATTAAGGTCAAAAGTTGTGCAGTTACAGCAAGAAAACAATATGAACAGAATCTGGTGGACAACACCAAACAGTTCTTTTCCCATGTTAACTTTAACCTCAAATCTAAACACACCCATTTCAGTATTGTTGACAAAGCAACTCTAGTCCCATTTGAATCTGACCAGGAGGCTGCAGAGTGTTTTACACAGCAATTCCAGACTGTTTTTACTGAATTCAGCCCTACATATATTAGACCAACACTTCCAGTTGAATCCTACTCCAGAACCGAAATCAATGTCATAAATTTCACCCCAGAAAAAGTAGAAATAGCTATCAAGTCCCCAAGAAGGAACTCCAGCCCTGAACTTGATGAGATGCCTCTTATATTCCTCAAAAATTGTATTCATACTTATGAATGACGTTATATCCACAGCCTTGGAAATGAGCAGTTGTTAGGTATAACTATATTCAAAAATCTATAGTAGAAAATTACAGACCAGTCAGCCTGATCAACACCCTATGAAAATGTGTGGAAAAAATCATTGCTAAGGAACTCATGAACTTTTCCCTCGAAGTTCATATGGTACCCACCCTAACAAGATGGTTTTCTCCCAAAAAAGTCTACTTTTACGAACCTCCTAACCACACTCAATATGTGGACAAAGGCGGATGATGAGAATTATCCAATTGATGTAGTCTTCCTGGACTTTGGAAAAGCAGTTGATAAGATACCCAACAATATACTTATTATGCAAGCCATATCATTTTGGAGTTATAGGCGATACTGCGACTTTTTGAGGAATTCCTCCACTCTCAGTTGAATACTGTTTACTCAGTGACAGTCTTGGGACCCTTGCTAGGCGTATTTATGTTAGACATACCAAAAACTGAAAACCAAATATGAATCATTTGCAGATAACACAAGCCTATCGTGCAATCTACTACTACAGTTTGCAGACCTCCAGGATGACCTGTATAGCATCAAAGAGTGGACAATATTTTGGAAAATGCCATTAAATGACCTCAATTGCACAGTTTTTCATATCGGCCGGAATAACCATGAACATGAAAACCTCTTCCAACAAACGTCAACTAAAAAAGTTTTGTGCCACAAAGACCTAGAAAATAAGAATCACATCAGACTTGAAATGGGAACAATACATCACTGAAATGACAAAAAAAGCACTAATCTACGTCATTCAAGGATCTTTCAAAAATCTACCTAAAGAGATGGTTCTAAAGTCATTTCATCTGGAACGTCTTTGATGTAATATAGACATCAAAGATATTGAACTGATTGAGAGAGTATAGCGCCGTATTACAATGATACCTAATGAACTCAAAGAGTTACCGCCTTAACCAACTAAACCTAACTAGATTAAAAGACAGAATAACGAGGGGAGACCCTATTGAAACTTACAAAATACCTATGCATGTCACATCAACTTTTTCCTCGCCACCAATATCAGAAGAAATAACCAGAAACTTGAGAAGGGAAGATGAAACAAGTAACCAAGAAGAAATTTCATGACAGAGTGGTTTATTAGTGGCTTAGCCATGAAACAATTAATGCATTATCAGTAAATCAATTTAAAAACCTCCAAAAATGAGGGGCTGGCATAATACGTTTGTGCATTATGTTGTTTAATTTCTGAATAAACTGTGAGAAACTAAAAGACTCAGTGGTCTCATCGGATACCCATCCACCTAGCACTGATATCCATAATCATAATAACCAACCAGAAAATCACAAGTGCCTAAAGAAAAACATTTTTTGACCTACATGGGTAACTATATCAATAGCTTCAGCTAAGCAAGACGATCCAGGGCGTGAAAGAAGGGAAGTCGAGAGCAGATTTTAAATCAAAAGGCATACATGTACACAATATCAGTTTTAACTCAATGAATATTTTCCGAATTTTATACTAGAATTAACAATTTCGAATCAGAATTGAATGCTCTTCAAGATAGAATAGGTTTGAAACCGATATTTTCAGCGGTTCACAAGATATGAGGCTTCAAGTTGTATGTGGCAGGGGCATGGTTTAAACCAACGTGTGTATTCACAAAATCACTCTCAACTCAATGAATCTTTCTCAAATTTTATACTAAAACAAACATTTTCGAATCAGAATTGAATGCTCTTCAAGATAGAACAGGTTTGAAACTGATATCTTGAGCGGTTTTCGAGATATGAGACATAAAAATGTATGTGACAGGGGCATTTTTTAAACCAAAAGGCATACATGTGTATGTGTATAAATTTCTTGACAGAGTGGTTCATCAGTGGAACAGACTTAGCCATGAAACAATTAGTGCAACATCAGTAAATCAATTTAAAAACCTTCAGAAATCAGGGGCTGGCATAATACGTTTGTACATTATGGTGTTTAATTTCTGAACAAACTGTGAAAAACTTAAAGACTCAGTGGTCTCCATCAGATACCCATCAACCTACCACTGATATCCATAATAATAATAATAATAATAATAATAATAACCCACCTAAACCAAAAAAAAATTGTCCTACATCCTACATGGGTATATCAATAGTTTCAGCTGGGCAAGACGATCCAGGGTGTGAAAGAAGCGAAGTCGAGAGCAGATTATGAAGGAAAAAATCAATTCATTACATGAAAATAGTGCAATAGATGTGGTGGATGTTCCACAAGATTATTAAATATCTCTCGACCATGCAAATGGGGGTTTTCATAGGAAGAAAGTGTGTGTGATGAACTTTGACGAGACTTTTAGTCCACTTTGAAGACAGACAACTTCATTACCTGTGAAATTAGAATTATATATCACACATTTGGATGTAACCACAGCTTAGTTAAATGAAAATGTTTTCATGCGACAAATGGAAGGTTTCTGGACAAAGAAAGTAAAACGTTTACGCTATCCTAACAAGTTCTGTCAGAATTGGAATATCAAAACTCGAAGATTAAACGAATGAATGAATATGGTATATAGAAATCAAAACGAATTTAGTATACAAAAATCCTAAAAGTGTAAGCCATTCAAAAAATCCACATCAGCCAAAAATATTTATATTGTTCCACATATCAGCTGGGTCAAAAAAACGTTCAAGCTAAATTTATTTTATTTGATTTTCAAATTATCAATAACAAAAATAAATTAGGTATTTATTTATTATGATTGACTCACCCAATTTGCCCAATCCATGGTGTGGCGTCATATAGGTACCAAATCCGATGATATCACATTTATAATTTCAAGATTTGAAATAATTGAAAATTTTAAATGAATAATAATCTTTAACAGCTACATGCCTTGTCTGAGAACGAAACAAATAATGATGTCGACTGGTGTGGCTTTGCAACGTTGAAAACGCAGATAACAAAACTGCACAAATTGTTGTTTTCTTATCAGCACCGAATAGTCATGAAAATTTTATTACAAGAAACCAGAGAATGAATAATTATAATAAAATTGAAACATAGAATTGAAAATTATTGGGTATATGCCAAAATGTTCTAGTTAGTAGGTATACCTAATCTTATCTTTTATGTACTTAGTATAGAAATGTATAAAATTACTTAGTAAATATTAAAGTTAGCAACTTACCCAAAACTAATTAAAAACTCCTCTTCATCCAATAATAATAGTAGAAAATTCCTGGGTAGCACACCACCATAACCGCACAGCATGGCTTCATAAAAATTAATCAGGGCATATTGTTAATTGGCTTCATTGATAAGATACCTTATTGTGTTTTCTCCTGATAAAACAAAATTATAGTTAGATCATCTAGATGTTGCGACACTACTATACCGTTCCGTGAACTCGAAACCCAGTTTACATCTTTGAATTTTGATAAAAAGTTTATCAAAATTGCTGTGTTTTTTTGGTTCACATTGTTGCAATCTTGAAAGATGTTATGTTTATAGACTATAGACGACTTTGCTGTGTTGTTTTAGTAATGGTATTAATGATGATATTGACCTAAGCGCGTGATTTGTAACGATTGTGTACGAGGACTGATCACAAATAATTAGTTGTTCAAGTTTTGGAAATTGATTCATTAAGTTCTTTTTGTTAGCTGCTGAATTTTATGAGAAATATTTCATAATACTACATTGTTCTTGGTTTATTAACAGTCCTAAAATTCTGGTAGTGAGGACGACAAAAGCTCGAGAGCCCAAATAGTAAGGACAAAGGTCTGATTCATCAATTACGTACCTACCCGAAATGTGAAAACAGAAAATTATTTTCTTTGTCTTACATCCACACTGTCGTCGTTTGTTTTAATACTTTATATAAACAGTTTCGAATCAGAATTAAATACTCTTCAAAATAGAACAGGTTTGAAATAGATATCTCAAGCGGTTTTCAAGATATGAGGCTTCAAATTGTATGTGGCAGGGGTATTTTTTAGACCAAAAGGCATACACGTGTATACACAATATTACTCTTAGCTAAATGAATATTTCTCAAATTTTATACTATAACAGTCTCGAATCAGAATTGAATGCTCTTCAAGGTGGAATAGGTTTGAAACCGATATCTCAAGCGGTTTTCAGATATGAGGCGTTAAAGTGTATGTGGCAGGGGCATTTTTTAAACCAAAAGGCATACGTGTGTATACACAAAATAACTCTTAGCTTAGATCAATCAATATTCCACAACTTTTGTACTGAAATAAACAGTTCCGAATCAGAATTGAATGCTCTTCGAGATAGAATAGGCTTGAAACCGATATTTTCAGCGGTTTTTAAGATACGAAATTGAATTGTATGTGGCAGGGGCATTTTTTAAACCAAAAGGCATACGTGTGAATTCAGAAAATCAATCTCAGCTCAATGAATATTTATAAAATTTTATACTATACCAGTTTCGGATCAGAATTGAATTCTTTTCAAGGTAGAACAGGTTTGAAACCGATATCTCAAGCGATTTTCAAGGCTTGTGAGTGAGTGTATGTGGCAGGCGCATTGTTTAAACCAAAAGACATACGTGTGTATTCACAAAATCACTCTCAACTCAAATTTTACACTAAAACAAACATTTTCGAATCAGAATTCAATGCTCTTTAAGATAGAACAGGTTGGAAACCGATACCTTGAGCTGTTTTCAAGATATGAGGCTTCAAAGTGTATGTGGCAGGGGCATTTTTTCAACCAAAAGGCATACGTTTGTATTCACAAAATCACTCTTAGCTCAATGAATATTTCTCAAAACCCCCTCCCCCCAAGATCCAGATAGAAAAAATTTCCCCTCCAGTGGCGCCTGCAGGCTTTTCGTCTCTAATATTTTCCCCCAATAAGCAAATATCACAAAACCAAAAAAAACAATAGTGAGTTTCGCATAATTATCTTATTCATTTGTTACCCTTCCCGAAAGAAAACATTATCAACGCCCTTGATTTGCTACCTACTTGCTATGGTACTAAAAATATGGTACACTTGCAATTTGCACCCCTGTTCATTGATCTGTTTCAATTATTAGTAGGTATTCTGTAAATTGTGATTAATCTCACATTGCACATTGTTTAAATTGAATCTGTGTTCCATTACTTTTATTCTAAACTTTGTCATATTTTATTTAGGCCCGGTTTAATCATCTTCAGATAAACTTGCTGATGGTAACTATCTGCAAGATAAATGACACGTTCTATAATAATATTGGTTTGCGTATAACTAGCCGACCAATTGGATTATTTTTCAAATTTCGTACCTAAATTAACAGTTTCGAATCAAAATTGAATGTTCTTCAAGATAGAACAGGTTTGAAGCCGATATCTCAAGCAGTTTATAAGATATGAGGTTTCTTCAAAGTGCATGTGGCAGGGGCATTTTTTTAACCAAAAGGCATACGTGTGTATTCACAAAACCACTCATAACTCAATGAATATTGATCGAGAAGGGGGTTTGGAAGTACACCAGAGAAGTTGAAGAAAAGGCAGATTTTGTGTGAAGGTGTAAAATTTCTTTATTAAAAATATTAACCGAGCGCTTTCGGCCTATTGAAGGGCCATCCTCAGGGTCGGTCCTGAAAACATTAACAGAAAAGAGGCATGATTACACCATAATCATGCCGACCCTGAGGATGGCCCTTCAATAGGCATAAAACGGTCGGTTGATATTTTTAATAAAGAAATTTTACACCTTTACAGAAAATCTGCCTTTTCTTCAATGAATATTTCTCAAATTTTATACTAAAACAAACATTTTCGAATCAGAATTGAATGCTCTTCAAGATAGAACAGGACTGTCAAACCGATATCTCAAGCGGTTTTCGGATATGAGGCTTCAAAGTGTAGGGGCATTTTTTAAACCAAAAGACATACATGTGTATACACAAAATCACTCTTGGCTCAATCAATATTTCACAAATTTGAATCTAAAATTAATGGTTTCAAATCAAAATTGAATGCTCTTCAAGATAGAACAGGTTTGAAACCGATATCTCAAGCGGTTTTCAAGATATGAGGCTTCAAATTGTATGTGGCAGGGGCATTTTTTAAACCAAAAGGCATACATGTGTATACACAATATCACTCTTAGCTCAATGAAAATTTTTCAAATTTCATACTCAAGTTAACATTTCGAATCAGAATTGAATGCTCTTCAAGATAGAATAGGTTGGAAACCGATATCTTGAGCGGTTATTCAAGATATGAGGCTTCAAGGTGTATGTGGCAGGGGCATTCTTTAAATCAAAAAGCATACGTGTGTATTCACAAAATCACTCTTAACCCAATGAATATTTCTCAAATTTTGTACTAAAATAAACATTTTCGATTCAAATTTAATGCTCTTCAAGATAGAACAGGTTTCAAACCGATATCTTAAGTGGTTTTTAGATATGAGGCTTCAAAGTGTATGTGGCAGAGGCATTTTTTAAACCAAAAGGCATACGTGTGTATAGGATTTTTATGCTATATTTGGGATGACGTCACATTTAGTAAATTTCTGCTGTCAACCTAACAAATCTAAAAGTACTTTTTAACGCATTTGAAGTAGGGAAATTTTAGATGTTTTTGGTTGGCAATGGCGCGCGACGTTGCATGACTTGTATAAACATTTTCATTTCGTTATTTTTAGCTGTCATCAGAATTATTGACACATGGCATTCTGATAAATTATAAGAAAAAAAATAAGCATTGACAACATTGTCTGTCCTTGTTTAATGACGTCATCCTAAATATTACATAAAAAAACCTATATATACAAAATCACTCTTGGCTCAATCAATATTTCACAAATTTGAATTTTAAACTGATGGTTTCAAATCAGAATTGAATGCTCTTCAAGATAGAACAGATTTGAAACCGATATTTTCAGCAGTTTTCAAGAAATGAAGCTTCAAAGTGTAGGTATGTGGCAGGGGCATTTTTTAAACCAGAAGGCATACGTGTGTATACACAATATTACTCTTACCTCAATGAATATTTCTAAAATTTTATACTAAAATTAACAGTTTCGAATCAGAATTGAATGCTCTTCAAGATAGAACCGATATCTTGAGCGGTTTCAAGAAACGTAGTAGGGGCATTTTTCAAACCAAAAGGACTACGTGTGTTATCACAAAATTCCCCTTAACTAAATGAATATTTGTCAAATTTTATACTAAAACAGTTTGAATGCTCTTCAAGATAGAATAGGTTTGAAACCGATATTTTCAGCGGTTTTCAAGATATGAAGCTTCAAAGTGTATATTATTATGGCAGGGGCATTTTCTAAATCAAAAGGTATGCATGTGTATACACAATATCAGTCTTACCTCAATGAATATTTTTTAAATTTTATACTAAAATTAACAGTTTCGAATCAGAATTGAATGCTATTCAAGATAGATCAGGTTCGAGACTGATATCTCAAGCCAAAAGGCATATGTGTGTCGCATCACTTTTAGCTCAATGAATATTTCTCAAACTTTGTACTGAAATAAACAGTTTCGAATCAGAATTGAATGCTCTTCGAGATACAACAGGTTTGAAACCGATATTTTCAGCGGTTTTCAAGATATGAGGCTTCAAGGTGTATGTGGCAGGGGCATTGTTTAAACCAAATGGCATACGTGTGTATTCACAAAATCAATCTTAACTCAATGAATATTTCTCAAATTTTATACTAAAACACACATTTTCGAATCAAAATTGAATGCTCTTCAAGATAAAATAGGTTTGAAACTGATATCTTGAGCGGTTTTCGCGATATGAGGCTTCAAAATGTATGTGGCAGGGGCATTTTTCAAACCAAAAGGCATACGTGTGTTGCATCACAAAATCACTCTTAGCTCCACCAGCGTAGATAGGGCGAGGGGTACTTAACTGGGGCACGTTACCCCCCTCTGAGAGAGTGGAAACTATATAAACCACACCATAAGGAAATGAAATAGCAAAAAATAATATTTACATAATTCATTTGTCAATATATTAATGCATGGAAAAATTAAAATATTGGGAATAAAAAGGTACGATGGCCGTCGGCAATATTGAACGAACTCCCTGCAGGGTCCTTATTCTCGAAACAGGGGAGCAGCGTTCTCATGAGAACGGAGGTTCCATCTTAGTCGCTCATATTTATATGTCCATAACACTGTCAAAGACAGAGCAATCGTTCTCGTGAAAACGCTGTTCCCAGGTTTCGAGAATAAACACTCTGTGATGCGTTATAGGTCCCCCGCCCCACCCCTATAGGCAAAAATCCTATCTACGCGCCTGTAGGTAGTTCCTGAAAGTGTTCTTTCCAATGAGAATTAATGGAGGAACTGTCTTCAAGCAATCTTATGGCATCTTTGGATTGTAAGGGTTTGAGTTCTTGAGTAGTTGGTCCATATACGATCTAAGTAGCTTGATAGAAGTCCCTGAATGGATTGTCTTTATCTGGATGGAAGCATTATCGAAGATCTGTTTAATCCAGTATAGCAGTTGATTCTAGCATTTAGGTACCATGCTGTGCATCAGGTTTCGACGGAATTGAAACCATTCTTTCTGGTAGTTTATCATCAAAATTTTCAAATATTAAGAAGTAAAACTGACAGTCTTTATTCTTCACAATTCTTCATGTAAGAATTTTAAATCCATCTTGATATGATAGGAATTTGAGGATTACTCGGATAACATAATGGAGTGTGTAGGTTAGTACAAATATCCCTCCATCTTAACTAAACCAACGCTTTTGCTCCACCCCAGCTCGATGGTGAGCCAAATGAAACTTGGCATTGATTTAATGCTTATTACTGAGGGAAATATTGTTGAGCTTGTCAGATGCAGTGGATCCTGATTGGAGATAATTGTGACTGTGAGATATTGGCAATTATTAATATAAATTATGTAAGACTTTGCCATCCCACAGAATTCATTTCTAGAACGATTCTATCACAAATAACATTCTACTAAACTAACAAAATTAGATTGAATTATAATACTAACAACTAGTGCTCGTTAGATTATTGCACGATTCCAAAGGCTGAGGGCACGTCACAAGAAGCCAAATGGTACTACGGATCACAACATAAACATTGTTTGCCGGTTGTAATGGGAATCAAAATAGTTTTTACAGTAAAGATGCATGCAAGAAACATTATCCTTAAGAAGTTGGTAAGGGGATATTTTCAAATGCAATCACAAATTTAATATTTTTGTTTTATGTATAATAGCTAAAGACACTTGTCATTTACCTGCCGATATTGGAGAATGCGGCAACTACGTCACTAGATGGTATTGGGACACCAGATACCAAAAATGCAACCAGTTCTACTTTGAAGGATGCGGCGGGAACGGCAATAACTATCAACCACAACAAGAATGCTAACAATCTTGTAACAGGCCCGAACCCAAAAAACCACCCACACCTCCAGCACCTGAACCACCACAACCACATACTCAGAGGCTTTTATTAACACCTCAAGTCCGACTGCCATGCAGCCAACTCTAGAAGAAACTTGTCCGATGTCGCCCGATCCAGGCCCTTGTATCGACCAAAGGTGCATATCTATCTCATCAAAGAGATATTAACAACTTCTTGACATGAACAGAAGAGAGATTAGAACGCTAACACACCAAGAGGTTGACACTTTACCATCCAAGAAGCTGGCCTCTTTTGGGACAAGTCTACAAATCTTGGACGCCAACTAGAAGCAGGGTCACGCACAAAATATCTGGAAAAAGTGCTTGAGCGGCTGGAACAAGCAGTAATGACTCCAGATGCAATCTACAACATTGAATGTAGATGTAAAACATAACAAGAACAATCTGAAATCGGGTTTATTTGTATAAATTAAGAACATTGATAGCAGAACTCATTACTTAAATCAGGAAGAAAACTAATCAACTAGCAAAAATATAAATTAAATAACAGTAGGTATATAATTACAAAATTACAGGAAGCAATAATAGAATAAATTATAATTGTAAACAAAGACTAGCAACAAACAAAATTAAACAACTAACAAGAATTTCTAATCTGGAAACTTATTGAAAGTTCCTTATACAAAACATGATAACACAACAATCCAAATTGAAAACGAGTAGTCGACGCTAATTAGTACGACCATTAAACTATTAGGGGAATTAAAAGGCGTTAACTGGGTACTACTTAATTGGAAGCGTTCAATAACACCGGGTGTTTTTATGGAATTTTTATTTTATACTGCGGTATTTTTCAACAATCTATGCATCCTGAAATTCTCTTCAACTTTCACCATTTGCGGCGTTACAACGTTATTATTATTGAAAACTTCATCGTCGCTAGTGAAACTTTCAGGCCTCGCTTCACTGGTGGCTCTTTCGTCCAAAAAACTCAAACAACTCCCAATATAACTTCTGCAAATTTTGATTTGATCCAACGCGTAATCGTCCACGGGACTCAAACCGTTCAACTCAATTAGATATTTATTTAAAGAATCACGAAATCTCAGGTATTGTTTGCCATTTTTTTTGCCTACGAACTCGTTGATTTCCAATTCGATTTGTCGCAAACTTTCGACGATTTCGTTGATTCTTTCCACGACTTCTTGGACAGTCCTTGCGGGTACTGGGGAATCTGTTCGGTCGTACTGGCGATTTATTCGGGTAGTTTGGGCTGCCAGCTCGTTCATCATGGCTACAGGCATCACTGGAACGCCAACTTTGAGGATGGATTTACGTTTTTGTTCTGGACTGATTATGCGGACTTCTTTGGTGTGCTTAGGACTGCCTAAAATATTAGTTTTTATTGAAAATTTTGGATTAATAAAACTTAAGCTCACCTTCTAAATGTTCCAGTTGAATTTCCATGTTTTTTTTGTTGTCATTTTCGTTTTCTGCATGAACATCAACAATGGTTTCATTGTCAGCTGTATTATTACTAGTAATTTCGGAAAATGTTTCGCTCTGATTTTGACTTATAATGCTTTGAGCCACTTCGTTATTATCCCCTTTTTGTTGTTTGTTAGTCAATTTTTCTCTGTTCTCTTCCAGCTTAGTTTGCAAAGCCTCTTCCGCTTCGCACACTCGTTTGTAAACATTTTCGTATAAGTTTCTCACTTGAGGTTGCAAGTCTTTGGCTCTGCGAGTCAAGTCGTTTTTGAAAAATTCGATTTCGTTTCTGAGCGAGACCCAGTTGACGTCTTCGGTGGCTCCTTTGAATTTTTTGATGTCTTTGTGGAGTTGCTCCACCTTTGGCTTTAGATTGTGCAAAGTTCTGCGCTGCGAGCGTCTTGCGACAGTGTTGCGACGTTCCAGCGGGGATTTTGAGCCTACTGATCCCATGGTATTGGATCTGGAAGTGAAATAATATGATGTAAGATTACAAATCGATTGAGTGACTAGTTATACATGATATACAATCTCCGGTTAAATTCAACGTTGGTGTGAATGAAAATAAGAAATTCCTTACCTAATTTTGTGTGTTCAAGAAGCGACATACGTTTAGTCACTAGAACGACTGGTACTTCTAAATAGGTATTAAAAATACTATATTTCACATTAAATGTGCTCAGAATTTTACGCATAGAATCCAAATATGCAATCACATATAGAGTGTCTCATTTAAAATAAGCAAGTAGACGTTATATAGACAAAACCGATCTCGGAAGCATAACCAAGTTCGCTGGAAAAACTATCATCAATGGATGTTTCAAGGTCACTTTGCATTGAAGGCAGAAAGGCTGTATGGACTGGTTGATGGATCAACTGTGGAACCAACTGCTGTTCAAGTGGTCGAGCCTTCAACATGGTACAAAAAATATGCATGAGCAATGTTTTCAATAACATGGATTTCGAGCAGATTACCTTGATAGAAAATTGCCAAACCTCGAAAGACATAAAGGATAAGTTAGACTCTATTTACAGACAGAGGTCAGAGATAAACAAACTAATGGTGCATTAAAAGTTTCATCAATACAAGATGGATCCTGGTAATTCAGTGGCAAAGCAGGTAGCAAAAATTGAGAACCTGGCACAACAGATTAAAGATTGTGGTAATATGTCTAGTGAAACTGCAATAATCACCAGAAATTTTGAACACGCTGCCACATAGATACCGAAACATTAGACAAGCTTGATTGTCAATGGACGAAAAAAGCAGAATGTAAAGAACCTGACAGCCAGACTTTTAGATTAGGAACAGAGTCTTACTGCAATCAAAGAAGAGCTAGCTATGACCATGAAGAAAAAGAAAAGCACATCGAATGCAGAGAAAAAAAAACGAAGGAAAAAGTGAAAGATTTCCATTCAGATGCTTCAACTGTCAAAAACGTGGACAAATGAGTAAAGACTACAGGGCTCCCAGACAGACACGAGATAAGAAAAAATGGTGAATACCATCAAGAAAAATAAGACAGCCTTAAGTATTGATTTACAAGAATTAAAACTAATATCGTGTGACGCCCATTCGATTTTAGACAGTGGTGCCTCTGCGCATATGAGTTACAGAAGAGGCTTTTTTTCTAAATTGCAGGAGTTGAAGAGTCCTTCTTTTGTGTACCTAGGAAACAGTAAGAGTCTAGAAGTAAAAGGAAAGGGGACAGTTAAGATTTAGAAATAAATAGATGGAGAATGGTGTGACTTATATAGACAATGTACTTTTCATCCCATAACTGAGAAAGAATCTATTTCTTGACAAATAAGAAGATGACAATAATTGAAGAAGGTAATACCGCAAGAATTTATGAAAACGAAGACCTAGTAACTAGTGCCATTCAGCAAGGATCGAATAACCTGTATAAAATGCTTATTAGTACAGTGTGCAACCAAAGTGAAGTTAGTGACTTAGAGGTTAGCGACTCATTGAAAAACTGACATGATAGGCTGCTTCAACCAAAAAATTGTTGTCTAGGTCTGAATCATAGATTACGAAATCTGTCATCAGTGTTCTGTTAAGCCTATTTGTTCAATTTGGGTGTGTATTCTCTTGCTTGATTCCTCTTTCTTTGCACCCTAATCTTAGTCTCTTATTGACATAATATTCTGTCCCATTATCGCATCTCAGCATGGAAATTTTCATATTCATGTGAGCTTTTACTTCTTCTCCGTACTATTTCACATATTCGAAAACTTTATGTTTCCCTTCCAGAAAGTGGATCATTGAGTAATGTGTGAAGCCGCCTAGAAAAGTTAGCATATACTTGCACCTGTCCCATTGCTCAGGATCCACTGGCCCACATAGATCTGTGTGTACAGGTATATCAACAAGCAGTATTTAAAAGACATTATCACTAAAAACATAGTAAAAGGTGTAGAAATGAGTTAATTTGACAACTTTGAGTGTGAAGCATGCATACTAGGTAAACAGCACAGAAAAAGTTTGAAGAAGTCAACACGAGCTCTGAAAAGTGCTCCTGGACAACAAGTGTATAGTGACTTATGTGCACCTATAGCTACACCTTCAGTATCAGGTGCTCGTTATGTATTGCTTGTCAAAGATACAGGTTACCGGGTAGCTATTTAATCAAGCACAAAAGTGATACAAATGAGTACTTTGTTCAATTTACCGCTATTGGCACCGCTACAACTTTAATCCCAGTGGAGCTGTGAATGTGACTTTTGTAGAAACAAAAGTTACATTCAAAGCTCCACTTAGACTAAAAATACCTTAGATTGGCGCCAGCGCCAAATTTTCTTGTCTAATTTTGTCTTGACGTTAAGATTTTAGCTGTGCATTGGAGAGGGTTTTTGTTTGGGTGTCTGATTAGCAGGATTGGGATGGAAAGGTGTTCATGAGGGTTCAAAATAGATTATTGGTAAATTCTTGTATGGTAGACCTTGAACTATGGGGTTGTCTGGATCATATCTCGTTGCAGTCATTCTGCGTATTAGAGGAAAGCCTTGAACTTGGTACCTATAGAATTTTTCGCTGATTTCATCCAGGTAGCCAGAAATATAAGGAATGCCATGCTTGCGCATGCATGTCCCTTATTCTGGCATACCTGAATTCCGACAGCACTCCCCTCAAGATGCGATTCTAGAATCGTTGCAGGCAGTTTCTTTGTGTTGTGGAGATTATGTTCCAGACAGGGGCCCCTTATGTTAGCATAGGTCTTATGACCTGTTTATATATGAGCAACTTATTACATGGCGTTAGGGGGGAGTTGGGGCCGATGAGGGGGTAAAGTTTTTGCTGCATACTGAAGGTACGTATCAAAGCATGGGAAACGTGGTGATGGAATTTCACTCTCTGATCAAAAAGGATTCTTAGGTATTCCGCCTTTGGGGACAGTGTGACACTTTGGGGGTTATTCAAGATAAGTGGGTTGGGCATGGTGCTATTGGTATGTTTCTTGTGGAAACATATCAGTTCCGTTTTTTGTCTATTAACACCAAGCTTCCACTTATCGTAATAAGGTTGAAGGATTGCAAGATGATGGGCTAGCTGAAATTTTGTTGCTTGTGTATAATAGGATTGAGCGTAAACAGCGGTGTCATTTGCGTACAGTGCCAGATTTGTATTCTGGAATTTTGAAATGTCCGCTGTGTACAGAGAGTACAGCAGCGGACTGAGTGCCGACCCCTGCGGCACTTCGGCCTGAATTGGTTTGGAGTTTGAGAGGGCGTCGTCTTGTTTAACGCAGAAATGCGGCCGCTGATGAAAGACTGTTTCAGGGAGATAATATGCAATGGGAAATCGAATTGTCCGAGTAATTTGTAGATAAGGCCTGCGTGCCAGACCCTATCGAAGGCGAGCTCCATATCTAGAAGCAGAAAAGTCGTGTTCATGCGCCTGTTGAACGCTTGGAAGGGGTCGCAGCAGATTTTGGCTGCAAGAAGTGTGGTGTTGTTACGGGGGCGGAATCCGAACTGCTTGTTTTGGAGAAGTTTTCGACGATCCTGTTGACCCTGGACAGGATCAACTTCTCCACGAACTTGGCAAAGGAGTTTAGAAGGGAGATTGGGCGGTAAAAGGATGGGAGTGTAAGGTTTTTTCCGGGTTTGGGGATCATAACCACAACAGCCCTTTTCCATTGAAAAGGAAAATGCTGTAGTTTTAGGATGGCGTTAGTTATTTGTACCAGTTGGACAATCACTTTACGTGGAAGATTCTTAAGGGCTCGATATGGGTTGCCATCTGGTCTGGTCTGGCAGATCTCTTTTCTATGGCTTGTTTTAGGCAAAATATGTACGTTGTTTTTACCTGATTTTCCTGCTATTCTTCTTCTTTCTCTTTATAAATCTTTTTCAATGAGATCACACAGAATTCTATCGTATAGTCTGCTTAGTGTGCTTGTGACTGATATGTCCCAATCTCTTAATTGAAAACCAGCTTATTTCCTTTTTTGTGAATGGATGATATAGTGGAACAGGATATTCATCTAGGCATTCATTGATAATACAATACATAATACCTCTGGAAGAGCTTATTCATCATTTCTTGGAGAATATCCCTTCTGGGCCGCAGCTTCACCTGACTTAAGATTCTTTTGGAAACATCTACAAAAATGCATCCCTTCATGTAAAAATCGACGACGAAACTAGGACCAATACCATTAAGGTTAAACGCCTAGTACGACAGGGAGACACTTGAGGGCGTTTTCAAGAAACTCATGTGGAAAAACAAGGGAATCAGGATCGATGGAACATATCTAAACAACCTCAGATTTGCAGATGATATTGTGCTAATATCAGACAATATAAAATAGATCGAGTCAATGCTTCAAGAGCTACACCATGAATCGAAAAAGATGGAGCTGGAAATGAACATTGCAAAGACAAAAAATAATTATATTCACAGGTCTATATGAAGAATACAATTACCTGGATCATATTTTATCACTAGGAAAGGAAAAGCAATCAAAGGAAATATCAAGGTGAACAAAACTCTCCTGGGCGGCATTTGGTAAGCTTGCATACATATTAAGAAATAGCGATATCCTCATTAATCTAAGACCTAAAGTTTTCAACGCCTGTTCTACCTGTTGCAGCATATACGGAATGGAAACAGTTGTCACTACCCAAGCAAGTGCCCGCAAATTTCGAGTAATGGAGAGGGCAATGGAAAGGTCAAGTCGGTATCAGTCTGAGGGATAGAATACCAAATGATGAGATTCGGAAAAGAACCAAGGTCAAAGACATTATTGAGAGGATTGCAGAACTGAAGTGACAGTGGGCGGGCCACGTAGCAAGGCTGAAGGATGAGAGATGGTCATCAATGATTGTTAAATGGAGACCGAGAGAGACAAAACGCAGTATAGGCAGACCTCCACTACGGTGGGCGGATGACTTAAAGAAAATAACAAGTGAAAACTGGTATCAAAAGACACAAACCAGGGATCAGTGGAAAGAATAATTAGGTCAGAAGTGGCTGGGGAAGAAGAAAAAGAAGAAGTTTCTTGTAATAGACCCTTGTAGTGTTCTATCCATTGCTCTGGTTTGACTACCTGGATATTAGCTCTATCCTTCCTGGGTTTTTGACATTGTGCGCATGAGCGTGGGTACGGAGTGAATGGGTTCGACAGCCCTGCATCCTGACCAATCCTGAGATCTGATGACTCTCTAGGTAATGGTTTTGGTGCAGGTGGGGAAGTTTGTAAGGGATGACAGAGAATGAGGGTTGAGAGGATTGGGTGCAAGAATTTACCGGGATTGGGAGATGGATTTTTCAGCTAAACTGGGTAATTTGTGCCCATATGATTATTGGTCAAATTGGGGTGTCTGATGTTCAATGAGACAAGAGTGGTTTCCTCATAGTCAGCGAGAGAGAAGTTTGTCATACCCTAAATCGCTGACTAGTTGGAAGTACCGCAATATTCATTTTGAATCGAACACCTTCTAAGCAAAGCTTTAGCACACCGTATGAGCAATGGAAAGGTAAGAAACCATACTTGGGACATGTTAAAACTTCATGAATTCCATGGCGTCGAAAAAACTTTGAAACGAATCTCACAAAGGTTTTAAACACTTGCCGACGATGAGAAAAGACATTACTGAACACATCCGAAAATGCATAGAATGCATGATGCAGAAATAGGTAAAAGGTACATAGGTTTTTCCTATGAAAGATACTGCCACCAAACGAATAGAGTTATGTACGAAATGCCTTATCGATGAAATTATTTTCAGATATTGAGCTTTCAGAAAGGTCATCAGTGATAATAACACGCAGTTTGTTACAGGTGTCATGTAACGAGTTGCTCACTGCCTTCGTTTTACCCAAAACCTTATACCGTTGTATCATCCAGCTTCCAATCCTGAAGCTGGCTGTGTTGCAAAATTATACACACCAGATTAAAAGCGAACAAAACTAAAGTCAAAATCATAAAATGATGTCTGTTGGGTATGACAAAAACTCAACAAATCATCGTTCGTATAATGCCATAAATAGAAAAATATCAGTATCATGCAATGTTTCATTTGACGAGAAAAACCAGGGGTTTGTTGACAAACAAGAAGAGATATCAATGTTGATTGAATTATTAGAATCCCACCTCATCATCTCGGGCCACAGAATAATAGGCAACAAGAATATGAAGAAATAGAAGAAGAGGAAGAACTTCACCTACCAAATTTGTGACCCCAAAGAAATATACAAATAGGTACCACAAAAATTGAAAGAATATTTGGGATATATTCAGTAGAGCTAGAAGTTCCAAGTACTTATGAACAAGCAGTCAGTTGTATAATGACTCTAGAAAATGGAAGAAAGCTATACAGGAAAAAATAAACGCTCTCAATGAAAACACGACATGGATTTTACAAGGTAAGACAGAAAGGTAATTGGTGGGTTTTTTAAGTGGAATACTACAGTAAAGGTAAAATTGAATAGAAAGAAGATCCCGATTTTGCTGAAATTTCACCCACAACAAGATATGATTCAATCAGAGTTGTTTTATATCTGTTGCTGCACGCAAAGGCTACAAAATCAAACAGTTTGACATCAAGGCAGCCTTCTTAATATGTTGAACTTTCAGAAGAAATATACATTGACAAAGTGTGTAAACTAATGAAGTCACTATAATATAAACTCAAACAAGTACCCCGGTTCTGGAACCAAAAATTTGATAGCGTTCGTGCAGCGTTCTAAAACAGTTTGGTTACGAACAATGCCAAGTTGACAAACGCCTGTGTACCAAGGTACACTTCAAGAATATGCAGTTTTGCTCATTATTCAAGTTGACGACGGACTACTACTGATGTCAAGCTGTGAGACTGCATTAGAAACTGTCCTTACTGAGCTGCAGAAATGCTTTCAGATTAAGATGAGCAACGTTAGCAATTTTGTTGGACTAGAAATAATAGAGAACAAACGGAAACTATTTTTATCCATCAAACCATGAATTTCCACCTAGTAGAAGCCAATTCAATAAAATAAAAATAAAAATTGTTAACAAGTTTGGAATGCGCGATGCGAATAAGTACAAGAGAGAACCAGACCACAATTTAATTGGTTTTTGTGACGCTGACTATGCAGCAGACAAGCAGACGAGAAAGTCAACAACAGGCTATATGTGCAAGGTCCGATAACTTGGTCTAGCAAAAGACAGTCCGGGGTTAGGTACCTTATCGACCACTGAAATTGAGTACGTAGCTGCCTGTCAGGCTACCAACGAAGCTGTATAATTACAGCAGCTTCTGAATGATATTGGACTACAGTAAATGGTGTAACATCATTGTATATTGATAAATGATAACTAAAGTGCGATCAAGTTGATACACAACAACATATTTCAATTTCATAACAATCGTGAAATTTATTTTTTCTCATGAGATCCGTGCATGGTCCTTTATTTAAGGTGACAGCCTAACCTAACTTTAGTTATAGTTGCTGTTGTTTTTGGTTTTGGAGTTGATCTGAATGTTTTTCTATAAAGAAATAGGAATTATTTCCATTTTTCTTGGTAACTTTTCAATAAAGAAACTGTATTTTAGTCAAGTGTGTTATCCTTCCAATCCACTGCAGGTAAGACCTCAAACAATTTGCACTATTACTGTCTGTTGATCGTAGTTAGAATGGTTATGGAAGTCGAGAATGAAGACAATTTGAAACAATATCAGCTCTTGATTCACGCAAAGGCTCAATCAAGATCCGGTAATAGTTTAAATTTTTCCAAAGGTGATTAATTGACGGTGATAATCACAGTTTGGACTATTATCGTCTTTTGATTGCATTTAGAAAACTTATGTGAGGGAAGAAAATTTTAACTCTAATCAGCTTTTGATTTAATCAAGGACTCAATCAAAATCTGGTAACAGTTTGAATTTTGTTCATCACCGACCCTTATAGCTTCTCTGAAGGCAATCAAGAAATCGTCATAGTCTAAATTATGATTAGTTCCTTGAGATACTTGATAGGTGCTCAAACTATTATTGAACTGAATCTTGGATCCTAAAACAGTTAATTCCTAGCGTTGTTTTAAAGAGTGTTTGATTTTAATACTTTATAAGCAAGTTTATACAATATGGAAAATATTATTTTATTATAAGACCTGTATACCAGTATAAGAGTTCTATAATGTACTATAATACGTATAACTAGTATCTACAACATTATGAAATAGTTACTTAAGCTTGTTTCAGTAGAGCTGTATAATTTAATTTGCTACTTGTGAAGGGTACTCATGATACTGAGTGATGGTTTCGAATACTGCGCGATAAAATTTCATTCACGAATTTTATAGTAATTAGGCAGATTTGCAAAATTGCACACTGTTTTCCCAACTTGAATAATTTAACACAGTACAACCGTATTAGAACTAACCAATGTTTGATGAATCATCTGAACAAATTAAACATTTCAACTGACTAGAAAATCTATCATCGAAAATTATACAGGGCGATTTACGTAGCCCGTGCATTAGCTTGCGCAGGAGGATTAGATTCTACTAATCCACCTGCAACTTGGACAAGTTCTAATAATGCACGGGCTACGTAAATCACGGTGTATACTTACAAATTTTTATGAAGTATTTATATTCCATCAAATAGATACATTCAATTTTTATCAGTTTGCCAATTTGCTTAATGATGTTATTAAAGTTGAACAAGTTATTTTCTGACTGGATAAAAACTTTTTAAACTTTCCAGAATGCCGATGAAAAGAGTTTGCTGCAACTTTGCCCGCAAGGCTTAGTGGCCGTAAAGCAATTTGGTCCAGAAACTTTAATTTGGGTTTACTTAATTAAAAGGAATTTTTGGGTATTTATAGTTACTGTGCGGTTAACTGCGGAATAATAATTTTTCAGTTGAGTAATTTACTATAAAATTTTTATCAGATGACTCACCAAGGTTTCAAAAACAATACCATATTAATTACGTTTGAGCAATTTACTTTAAAAAAAAAATAATAATAATTCATGTTACCTTGCATATAAAATCCCTCAAAGCCAGGCCCTTGTAACTCTGATTAAAAAATCCTAATTAGTTTGACTTGTATTGTAGGTCGCACCTAAAAACGAACAAAACACAAATATAGGGAGATAAAACAAATATGACTCTGTTCAGATAAGACCGCGCGATAAAAATGATTACAACCAACCTGATAAAACAACGGTTTTTGTTTAATTATTGGCGAACGAATCAGGTGCGCTAAAAAGAGAAATTTCAGTCGCGGATGGGAATTATTTTCACCGCGCGTATACGTGTGTTTCATTCATTCGAAATCGAGAGTAAAATGCCTTGAAGTAACAAGGTTTTACATCTATGGGTTTTAATTGTTCAATAATATTTCAATTAAAAAAAATAATTAGTTAGACTACCTACATTAATAATCATTGTGATCCTATTTTAACACCATTTTCTGGATTGGGATTTTTCACAAAATTATCGCCTTCTTTTTTCATCAAATGATTGCTTATATAGTCACAAAACCAAATCACAGCAGTTACTGATGGCGTTTCATTTATCACTGGCTTTCTTTCGAGTCCGTTTTATAGCGCGTTGTTGTATAATAGGTCAAAGCGTTGGTCAACGATACAGATGGAAAATTGCACTAGTAGGTAGTTTTTGAGGAAGAAATATCTTGCAAGATTCACACAGGTGTTGACAGTTTTGCGTATTTACTATAAGCTAAAAGGAAAACCAACATTGAAACGTTATAAAGTAAAATTGAAGGGTCCAGGAGGATAACCATCAATAATGTTATTGGAAAATGTACATACACATACAAAATCTGGAATAGTGGGACTTAAAATTTTAAAATAGAGGTGTAAGATAGAAAGTTATTGAGCAAAAATAATTTGATTTCTAACGAAAATCTGAAAACTCAACAAGTTAAGACGTTTACTTGATTTAATTAATACATTCACAGAATGTTTTGCTGTTAACACAAGTGAGTTAGGTAAAATTGATGATATTAGGATGCCAAATCATTTGAACGACGACCAGCCAATAGTATATCGTCCTTACCAGTTTTCATACCCAGAGAGAGAGATGTTGTCAAAGGCATAGTTGATGATCTTCTTAAGAATGACAAGACTGCATTTATCACGCCTGATGGCCATTACGAATATTTTGCGTGTTCCTTTTGGATTATGTAATGCTCCTGTGATTTTTCAAAGGACAATAATTCATAAAGTCTTAGGAAATCATCGATATGGAAATGGTACCCAATGTGATAGCTTATATGGATGATGTGTTTCTGCTCCAAAAAGATATTGAGTCTGGTTTAGTCATGTTACAAACAGTGTTTGAATCCATTATAGCAGCTGGACAAACTTTAAGATTATCCAAGTGTCAGTTATTTATGAAGAGATATTTAAGCATATTTAGTCTTCAATCTGGAAAACGAAAATCTGAAGCTATTAAAAGCTATCCAGTCCCCACGGATGTTTATAAAGTTCGACAGTTTGTTGGGTTAGTTTCGGAAGTATATTCAGGACGATCGCTCGTCGTTTGACATTCCTAACGAAAAAGGATGTTACATTTGTAGGAATTTAAATTTGAATATTTGAATTTCGCGCTCATTTATAATCATTTTGAAATATATTTCATTCATTTGTAATCTGGTACAATAAAACGACGTAGCTATAGCTTTCACATGGGGGGGGGGGGTTAGAGCAGTAATGGCCGCTCATGGTCTATGCTGAAAAGGGTTTCAATTTTACACCCGACGATGTATAAGCGACCGGGCTTAGCATAGTCAGAGCTGTTTCGAGTACAGGCAAAATGTACTCGGCTACCGGGTACAAGTACTTAGCGTAGAATGTTCTTGAGTACAGAGTACAATTACAAGTATTCAATACCCAAGTATTCAAAGTACCGTGGACTTTTACTTAGCGTAGAATGTTCTTGAGTACAGAGTTCAATTACAAGTATTCAATACCCAAGTATTCAGAGAACCGTGTACATTTATGAATACGTCATTCTAATACCACCTTGCATTCCTACCCAATGATGTCATAGGTACAAGTTATTACGCAACGTCCTCTTTTAAACAGCCTTGATCTATCATGGAAATCTAATGAATCCTCATAGGCTGCAAGCGCTGAGGTAGCTGCGAACTTAGCATTGCACATGCGTTATGACGTCACCTCCCCTTTCACACTTCCGTCACATTTCCCGAAATTTACCATCAAACTGCCGGTATAGATGTTCACACATCAAAAATTGAAAAACACATTTTGGTTTACTAAATGAATTCAGCAATTTTGAAGTTTGATTTGGTTATCCAGAGTCCAGAGTTTATAAGGACTCGGTTATAACTGCACAAATTATAATGTATAATTATATATTCTGGATCAGAATTAAATTATCTTTAAGATAGAATAAGATTCATTTCTCTATCTTTAATACTTCTGGAGATATAGAGGCTCAAAGTCAAAACTTTGCCGATAGCTTCACTGGTTCCTAAAAATTGGCCCTTTGAAAGAAATTTGGATTTTTAAATTTTTGAATTTTGCAATTTTTGACTTTACCAATCGAAAGAGGAGGTGAAAATTAGTGGAAAAGCATTAACGCAACTTTGTTTTTTGCGTTTTAGAGCTTGTAAAAAAATAAAAACGATTTTTGCAATTTTTGAGCTCAGAAAATTTCAATAATTTGACATTGTCTTACTAAACCACTCATTATTCGGGTATAACTGCACATTTTATGATGTATAATTATATATTTTGAATCAGAATTAAATTATCTTCAAGATAAAATAAGATTCAATTCTTTATCTCAAATACTTTTGAAGATATTGAGACTCAAAGTCAAAACTTTGTCTCAAATTTCACAAAAGATTCAAAGCTGATTTTCTTGAAAACGAACCCCTTGAGTTCGGAATCTCAAATAACCTTTTTTATTGCCCTTCCCAAGAGCTACAATTAGGCAAAAGATTCATGCCGATAGCTTCACTTGTTTCCAAAATATGGCCCTTTGAAATATTTGAAAATCAAATTTCTATGCATTACCTCTTTGAAAAAATTTGAATTTTCAAATTTTTGGATTTTGCAATTTTTCACGTCACCAATCGAAAGAGGAAGTGAAAATTAGTGGAAAAAAATTTAGGCAACTTTGTTTTTTGGGTTTTAGTTCTTGTAAAAAAATAAAAACCGTTTTTCCACATTTTGGGCCCAGAAAATTTCAATAATCTGACATTGTCTCACAAAATCGCTCATTACTCAGTTATTATTGCAACAAATATGATGTAAAATTATATATTCTGAATCAGAATTAAATTATCTTTAAGATAGAATAAGATTAAATTCTCTATCTTAAATTCTTCTGGAGAATCAAAACTTTGTCCTAAATTTCACAAAAGATTCAAAGCTTATTTTCTCGAAAATGAAGCCCTTGAGTTCTTCATAATATTCCTAAAGGAAATCAGCCTTTTTTGACATTGCACATCGATCATTATGAGCCACTGGAAAAAACACCTAGGTACAGGAAAAAAATATATATTTCAAATTATTGCATTCACTAAATTCGTGAGGCTGTACGATGTTAAAAGTACAAAAACCATTGAAGTTATTCAAAAACTTGAAGATTAATTTAGTCATTACAGCAAACCAATTACCATTGCATCTGATAGAGGTTCTGCGTTTATCTCTAATGATTTTGAGAACTTTTTGAAAAAGAATGATATTATTCATGTCAAAATAGCTACTGCTTGTCCGAAAGCAAATGGACAAATTGAGAGAATTGATCGAGATCTTACACCAATGATTCCTAAATTAAATAATTTAAGAAATAAATGGACAAAATGCTTATCTTTGCGGTTGAGTTTGCTATTAATAAATCTGCTTGTAAGTCAACAAGTAAAAGTCCATCAATGTTGTTATCTATTTGGAGTAAATCAACGACATAGGGAAGATAATTTGAGAAATGTAATTGAATTGCAAAATAATGACCATGATAGGAATCTTGAGAAACTAAAAAATTATAATAAAGTACCTTTCGATAAAAAGCATAAGCAACCTTATCAATATCAAGTTCGTGATTTTGTGTTAACAAAAAGCTATTGCCCAAGTTCCGAGGTCCCTATGTAGTCAATAAAGTTTAAAGAAATGATAGAAATTTTATCAGTGACGTAGAGAATTTTCTGGTTTCGCAGAAACCATATGAAGGTGTTTGTGGAGCTGAATATGTAATTATTGGCAAACTAAACTTATTTTGTATAGGTAATTGTATAATATATTTATTTTTGATACTTACCGTGTAAATACGACAAAAAAAAAACCTTATGGAACACTTATGCTTTATGAAACACTTATGTACAACTTATGAAATAGAATCATGATTACCTTATGAAACATTTATGATTTATGATAACTTTATGTAACACTTATGATTTATGATTCAAATTATGTTAAACTTATGACTGATTATTTTATGATAAACTTATGATGACCTTGTGATTTATGATTGTTTTATGCAACTTTAAGACTTATAACTTGGAAATCTTATTGACCTACAATTAAATTTGTGAGTACACGTTCCAATCCAAGTTTGAAAACTGAAGTGCATACGGATGCATCAAAATGGGGCATTGGTGGTATACTTCTGCAACAGAAAGTTGATATAACACATTGAGATGTGAGACCTGTCATGTACTTTTCTCGCTAAACCACCAAGGAAGAACACTCTTACGAACCTGAAAGCATGGCTGTGGTGGATGCACTTGAACATTTTCAAGAATATTTTATTTAAATTGAATTCAAGGTTTTCATACTTTGTAATGCAGTCAGAACAACGCTTTGTGAAAGAGATTTGATACCTCGTAATGGAAGATGGTGGTGTAGCAAAACACACTCAAGTACTCTATTTGATTAGTTAGATGGTAAATGGCGAGCGATATATTTTTTGGTGTTTATTTCCTTGAGCGGCTACCTATAAAATTGTGGAGGAGGTCTATTCGCAAAAGAGAGAAACAAACTATGGAGGTTTACTAAATTATATTTTATTATACTTAAAACCAAAATTAAAATAATCAAAGATCTTTACATGTCTGACAGACACTTCTATTTTTCCCAAATCAAATTATTTCACATCCGTTCAAATTTCATTACAACGGACCAGGAAATATCTATACTAAAAACGCCCTACTTCTTCTATTCTCAATAACTTATAAGTTTATACATTACTCTTTCAAACAACAGTTCGATTCACATTCCTATCAAAACTACCCTCCGCATATATCTATAAATTCTTAAAACTCCTATGTCATTTACTGTCAGCTTATGCAAAATAATTATTTAAGCCATAATTCCACTCACTGGATTAAGTACATATGTATTATCAACTATATTTTTATAAAAACCTTACAATAATTTTAAATGAAACGACCCTAATTCAAAATTTCAACACTAAGGTCAACAATATCATTTCATGAACAACAAGTTTCTTGTCAAAATTGCCCATTACATTAAACTATTTATTCTTTTACTAAGGATCAATTTAAACAGAACAACTACTATTTTAGAATTCTTAGCCAACATACACAATTATTTAAATTCCTTTCAATTTCCCTTCAACTTCAATTGGACAATCCAATTCAAAATTCTTTAATAATTTCAACTCAAAATCGAATATTGCTAAGAGCATTATAATTTTCCCTTGTTAATTCTTTGCAAAATTAATTAAAATGTCATTATACTCGAAGGCAATTAAATTTATACAATAATGTTCCATAGTCAAAACACTCGAGTTATTAATATTTATGCAATAAAGTTCCAAAGTTAATTCACTTCATACTCATTCCTCATTTATAGTCAAAAATAAAACCTGTCACTATAGAGTACTTACATTTTGTCCATAAAATACTAAACTAATCTTATTTAATTATTTTGATTACTTAGAGCTCGCACATAATGTTGAATAACTTTAAATGTTCTTTCTTTCACAATTTTCTGTACTTTTAAAAAGATTCGATTAAACACGTTTTTCCGAGGCAATGAAATAAAATAAATTCTTCGCGAATTTTATCCGGACCTTAGACTTTAAAGTCAAAACTGGACTGCAGGCTGAAGACTAACAACTGGAATGAACTTAAACTCAACTCAACTCAACTGCCCTCCACTTCTAAAACCGCTGTTTTTATCTTTTTCGATTTCCCCCCAAAAATATTATTAATTACCAACCAAAATCGACAATGGGCGATCGTTTGACCATCTATAATTTAATTCTATTGGTCGACCACTCGACCTAAATAGATATTATTCCAAAAACTAATTTCATAATTTTTAGAGGATGATGCAATCTGTTCGAAATTTTTGTCATTTTGGGTCCAATTTAATTAACTTGTAATTGATCTCTTGCGGGTTTTTATTTGTTTAAAATTGAATAATTATGTCGCAATTTCCTGGTTTATCGGAGTCAACAGATTTCGTATAAGAATGTGAGGACAACTCAAAGAAAACCAACAAACACGTGCGGGCCATAATTCACCTATTTAATTACTTTGGCCTCGCTTTTAATAAGTTCATTGATTTGATTTAGGAGATGACATCACGCTTGGTGACTAAATAATAAAATTTTGAACGTATATAAATATTTTAATTTGGGGTCAACGTTATTTTGTTTCATTTTCAATTTATTGATACTGATTTGAAATACAGGAAATCCAGGTTTTGATTATTTGATTACATTTAATGTTTTTACATTAAAGACATTGTAATTCACGGTTCTATTTTCCCGGGTCATTACAGTGGCTTTGAATCCAAAAATTCACATTCAATATTGAATACCGAACTGGTTCTAAAATGGCACATGCTGATGCATTTAGCCGGAATCCTGTAACGAGTACAGATATTTTCGTCGGTGATATTATTATTTCTAATGAGGACTGCGTACTCAGTGCACATATGGCTGACGACAAATGCAATCATTTTAGAGGCATTGGAACAAGAACCTAAGAATCGTGAGGAACAAAACTTTCACAAGGACTATTGTATACAAAATGGAGAACTGTACCAAATAACGGACAAAAATCAAAGAAAATGGGTCGTACCAAGGTCAGCAAGACGGCAAGTTCTCTTACATTTTCATGATGGCATTGGACATTCTGCAACAGATAAACTTTATTGGTTTCCTGTTATGAGAAGGTATGGCAAAAATTGATATCATGTCGTTTGCCATGCCTATACAATAAAGAACCTGGAGGCAAGCAAGCTAGTTATTGGCACCCAATCGAGAAAATAGCTGTAACGTTTGATACGCTCCATGTTGATCACTTGGGTCCTTTTGTGACATCTAACAAAAATAATAAATACCTTATCGTTTTAGTCGATGCGTTCATGAAATTTGTGTTCATGAAGGCTATTAAATCGACTCAAGTAAGACCAATCATAACATATCTAAATAGTGTATTTGAGGAGTTTGGTGTTCCACGGATAGAGGCAGCTGTTTTACAAGTAAAGAGTTTAATAGCTACTCTCGGAATCTAAACATCAAACATGTGTTGAACGCTACAGCAACGCTCAGGGCAAACGTGCAAGTTGAACATTTTAAATCACACAATTTTGTCTGCTTTCTCTACGTTAACGGAACAGGAGAAAACATGTGACGAAAGTACGTTGGGATTTGAATTTCACGACGAATTCCATCACAGGAAAGTCCCCACATGAATTATTTTCTGGTTTCGCCCCAAGAGGTGTATCAGATGCAGTTCTAGAGAATGAAATAACTCTAGATCAACAAAAGCAACTTGACTTACAAGAAATTCGAGATAAAGTTAAGAAATCCTTACGAAATAAGCAAGTCGAACAAAGATTCGACATAGAAAAGCTGGACGCAGCTTTAACGAAGGTGACCAAGTTTTAGTTAGGACCAAGACAATGTACAATGATGGAAAAAGCAAAAAGCTACTTCCAAAGATTAATGGTTTCATACGTTGTCAGTAAGGTTTTAAGTCATGACCGTTACGTTGTGGAAGATCCCAAGGACTCTTTATGTTCTAAGAGAAAGTATAAGGGAACTGTTTTACTTGACAAGTTAAACAAGTTAAAGGCCTATAATGTAGAAGTGAGCTCTGATTCTGACGATGAGAATAAGGCTCAAAGTGATGAAAGTTAGAAAGATCTCTTGAGATAAGGTGAAAATAATTAGTATAACTGGTATTACGATTTTACGAAATATTTTCTCAAAAGAAAAGTTAGATTACTGGAACTAGTTCGGACTACGGTGCTATGAATAGTTTCACATTAAATTTAAATTAGTTATTTAAGCTTAGATTAAGGGTTACTAACAGTATTTTGAAGCAGGTACTCAGGTTAAGATAAGTCCACGTCAGCACATATTTCAGGTGGATAAAAAAAAATAAGGGAGGCGCGGCAAGGTTTCTTAAAAGGCTTGCTATTCGAAGACTAGCGGTTGTTGTTGTTGTTGTTGTTGAATGTTGATGATGTTGATTAGCTACCTACGAATAATTATTAATAAATGTTTCACGTTCAAATTGGTAACATTTCTTATATGTTTGAGAAAAATCACAAAATCTTTCCCAGAGGACTATAAACACAAAATTATAGTGACAGAAAACTGCCATACTTAATTTCAGCACTCAGAAGAGTAGCATTTCTATTAATGGATAAAGTTAAAAGAGAGCGACAAAAAATGGTAGATCAAGAGATAATTGACTTTACAATAATCCTACTTCAAACATTGAGAAGAAAGAGAAAAGCAGAAATACCTACTATCTACTAAGCCTACTACAGAGATACAGGAATATGTAGAGTCTGAAGGAATAAGACAAAAAAGGGAAAAACGAAGACCAATAAAAATCTGATGATTTGGTGATATGAAATTTTTTTACTTTAATTCAAATTTCTTGTTTGTATAATGGGACAAAAATAAAGGAGCTTTGGAGGTTTTGTCGGTGGAATAAAAGGTCGGGTATGAAAACGCTTCCACAGTTTTATTTGGAAATTCACTTTAAAACTTCCACAAATAATCTAAATTAATATCTACTAACTTAAAGTAGGTATATACAATATACCTAACAGTCGTTGCCTCTAGCCCCTATAACTTGTGAAATGTCCCATACCCATTTAAAGCACAAAACATTTTTTGAACATTTGTTTTTGTTCCAACATTGAACTTATCATACAAAACTGCCTTCCATTTCTTAATCACATTTCAATCTTATACTCTATTCCATCAGGGAGGGATTCTTCTTATACTAAAATAAACGAAAATAATTAATAGGTACTTACATAAATACAGGAAAAAAAATTACTCACAACAACATCAACAATCTTTGGTTTCATTTTGACTGCACCAAGATTTTCCACAATTTCAACCCCTAAATCTTCTTCTTTAATTGGATTATTATTTACTTCGTTGAATACATCAGTTTTAGTATCAACTCCATTTCCTTCATTATTTTGTATTGTAGATTCTTCTATACATTCTGAAATCCTATTAAAATCATTTCTTTCATCGAAACTGGATCTTTCCACAATAGAGTCCAAATTCCTGCGTCTTTCTTCGTAATCCAAAAATCCTCCCACAGTGGACGATACAAACTTTTTTCTAGCTCTTGCATTTGAAAGTGTCCTTTTCGGTACGATTTTTTTAATCTCTTCAATGTTTTCGATTGGGTCCTCTTTTTTATCTAAATATTTTTCCCAGGCTTCCAAAGTGCCAATGGAAATTTCTGAAGCTGTTCTGCGTCGTTCACGCTTGCTTACATTTTTGCTGAGGTTTTCTTCCGATCTGGACACGTTGTCTTGTTTGGAAAAAGCAAAAACTTGCCGTTTAACATAGGAAAACCGCTTCAGATCTTCAGAAGTGAAATTGTCCTCTTGACCCAGCCACTCGATTTTGTCTTGATGGAAAATTATAATTTCAACATTTTTTAGAATTATGGCAATCGAATCTATGATTTCTTTGTAGTGATAGTCTTTGGCTCTTTCCAATGCTAGTTTGGTTTCTGTCATGGTCTTTCCAAAAAATTGATTGTGAAAACCGTTTATGTTATATTTTAAGTCTTCTTCTAGTTTTTCGGCGCATTGCTTGAGAGTTTTACAAAATTGTTTCATAGACATACTGCAGCTAAAACATAACCCAATATAATTATTTAGATTTGAATTTTGACTAAAACATTCATTATTTAAAATCTTATTGCAATAATACTTACACGATTTGATGGGAAATGAGAAGCGATTTTTCAATGTTGCACTAAGAATGATGACAACAGCACGCCAAAAATAGATGGACAAATTGAACCCAATTTGAAAATTAACTTATTTACAATATTATTTTAATCTTATCTCATTTAATAAGTAATGAGTTGAGTTGCGAATATGATTTTTATTATATCGCTATGTTATCTTTATTACAGATTAATATTCGTCACTTAGGGATTGCAATAGGTAAACTTCACCTTGGACTACAAACTTTCTATTAAGCACTTCAACATCATATGAAATCTTGAAAGCTTTGTGAATTTCAACTTTCTAGTAGGTATAGTTGAAGTTCCCTATATCAACTACAACAAGATGGTTGGAATCATTGATCAAACAAGCAAGTTTATTAAAAAAAATTGTAAAAAGTAAAGCTTTCCATTGTCATTGCCATCAAATTCTTATGTCAAAATGACACAAAATCCAAAAAGCTGTGCTTTAGGTAATAATACCGATTCGGAACTTGTTTTGAACGATTTAGACGAGGAAACCACCAATTCACAAGACATTATTATAACTAATGAGAAACTTAAAACTGAAAACCTTGGAAAAACACCCGAGATAAAGGCTGCGAGCAAAATTGAAGTTATAAAGTTAGAAGTGGAACATATCAAGGTAGACAATAAATTCTTGAATTAAATTATTGGGTAATTTTTTTTAGGAGGAATTACTATCGATTGATAAAGAAGCTCTTCAAAACGACTTTAAAAAGTACGAAGAAATTTTAATTTTAAAAACCATAGAACTGGACGATATAGAATCTCATGGTGTGGAAGAAGTGAGAGAAATGAGAAAAGATGCGATACAATTTGTGCAAGAATGTTTGAAGTTATTGGACGAATTAATTGAGGAATAAACTATTGAAACTGTTAATGAAGTTGAGGATAATGTATAAATGCAATTTAGAAAAACAAGTTGAAATTTCATTCTGTCTTAATATACAGTGTATCTAAAACTATTCGAGCTATTAACTTGCACGGATTTATAGAGAATTTAATGCTCATTCCAATGGTGTATAATTTATTCCAATTTGCTTGAAATTTAACAAACATATGGGCATTTGCTCATGACCATGATTTTGAAAATTTTCCAAAGCCAAAAATTAAATTTCATTTTTATTTTTGTTTCTGCACAAAATATCAGGATTGTTTTTCACTAATTTTGACCCACTCTATCGATTGGTTAAGTCAAAATTGAGCAAAACTGAAAAATTAAAAAATCGAGTTTTCATAAGGCTACCCCTTTTGAATAGACCTATCTCGCATGATTAGAAAAAGAGAGCTTTATTGTAATAAATACAAGTAAGAAAGCAATAAAAGATGACATGCGCGCGCAACTCGTAGGCTGCAGTGTAGCCAGATTGTATTGTTGCAGAACAAATGTAGACAATACAAATCGAAAATTATAACATTAAAGAAGTGATATAGTGTCAAGTGTTTTACAACGCCTCGAATCAGACAAAAAAAGAGCTTTAAAGTGGATAAATATCGTTTGCACTTTTATTTTGATAAATGTTTCATCCGGCAACATCGCTCAATGAAATTGCAAAGGAATATGTCAAGTATAATCTAACATAACCTTAAACGAAACTGCGGTGAGTTCAAGTAATATGTAAAAGTATTAGTTTGCTCTTTGTCAAATTACACGTTACAAAGAAAGAAGGAACGATTCATTCTGAACTGGCCCCTGAATAAGAATATGACACAGGCCTGTCACAAATTTGCTTCTCATTGGACGCTCACCTGCAGCCTACAAGCGACGCGCGCAGTCCATAGGTAATAGGAGATCGGTCTATTCTGATTTCAAAATATTCAAACCGCAATTGCTCGGTAACCATTGAGCAAATTGAATTGAAATTTTCAGAATTTGTAGCTCTTATCAAGCTCTAAAAGTCCTGTAATTTACAATATTCCCAGGTTTATAGTTTTTGAGCAAATTGAGTTTGAAGTTTTTGGCAATATTTGGACTAAAAATCAACTTTGAGGCTCAATTACTCAAAATCTATTTGAGCTATTTGATTCAGTTTTACAGGGATTTATAGAGAATTTATGACTCTTTCCAATGATATATAATTTATTTCAATTTGCTCAAATATCCAACAAAGACCTTTTAAATTTTTTTATTTTAATAATTTCAATTCAATTCTAACGTGATTATATTCAAATTTCTTACTTTAATCAAACGCAAAATGCGCCCGATCTTAAATATCCTCATAACTCAAAGCAGTGGCGGCTCGTGACTATTTCAAGTGAGGAGGCTGAAAAATAATGAATTACGCTAAGGTAACCACTGCGTAGCAGGCAAAATTTGTTTTGGAGTACCCATACCTTCAATAATTTATCTCAAATTCAATAAAAACCATGAATACTCGAGAAAATGTTCCTTTTCTTCATGTGAGTATATATTTTCAGAGTTAATTTTGACGAAAAATAAAAAATACAAAGAAGACACAAATTGATAATTATGAGTAGTTACGATAATAATTATGTACTTTCTGCAACAATATGCACAATCACACAATAATTCACAATGCACCTGATGCAAAAAAATATCAATCAACTATAATTCGACAACTTCCGACTAGAAAAGTAACATGGAACTCTTTATGCATAAAACAGAGATAAAAAAAAGCAAGGATGGCAGTTTTCAACTATGCGTGCGGCTAGCCGCTTTTCGAGACTGGTTGCTGAACGCCAGTAGTGGTTCGATATGTTTCCGGCATTTCTATTGGACGCTCAGATCCGCGGTCCATTTGAATGCTAGATTTCAGTGAAGCATGTGAGAGTCTAGCCTCCAGTCAACTTCCAATGAATTTTTTCGAAAAAAAAAATCTATGGGGATATAAGCCTTCCAATTTTTTTTATTTTCAAAACGACCTAACTCGGAAACAAAAAGCTTGGCAGAAAAACTTCAAATGCAAAACTTATAGATCTCGTCATATACTACAAAAAAGCCTATAAGAAGTATCCCTCCACGGGGCACCGTTTTCGAGAAAATCGACCTCGAAAATTTTAACAAATTTACAAAGAATTTCAACTTTGACAGCTGATATCTCAGAGACAAAAACGGCCTAGCATCTCAATAAAAAACATGTTGTAGGTAATTTCATCCTCTTTCAAAAGAGATATGACTTGAAACGATCGGTTGAGAATTAGCGGAGCTGTGAGCGAAAAAGTGGCCTCGTGTCGGGTAACCACAATTTTTTTCTGGTGAAAATCGCCATTTCCTTTTTTATTTTTTTTTTTCGGCCTTAAGATGTGCCGTAGCGCGGAGGGTCAAATTAACGTTTCGATGTATTTTTTGCTCCTTTATCCGATAGAATTTTTTTATTTTTAAATTCAAAATTTGAGTTTTTTCGACGAAAAAATTCGAACTTTTTCGATACCGTGAGAAAATAGGCGGATTTTGCTGGTTTAGCTGGTTTTCACCGGTTTTGTGCTAATTTTCACTGCTTTTCACTGATTTTATGCTGGTCTTGTATAATTCAGCACAAAACCTGCTAAACCAACAAACAACAGTGAAAAGCCGCAAAATCCAGCACAAAACCAGCTAAACCAGGGAAAATTAGCACAAAACTACCACAACATTAACACAAAACCAACTAATAACCAGCACAAAACCGATTTTTTCATGGATCTAAAAAGATCCCAGGCTCAAGTGAACCTATACCTAATGAGAAAATTAAGAAGCTGATCATACTGAAACTTCAAATTCATCCAGTGGAAAACAGCAAAAAGAGAAATTCATGAAAATTAATTGAATCATAAATCAAGGAAAATGCACCTCATGACATTTTTATGATTTTCTGGAGAATTACTCGAAAGAAAATTAGTAACAAGGTTAGAAGCTCATCATACTGACATTGAAATTTATTCCAGTGGAAAAGAGCCGAAAGAGAATTCCATGAAAATCAACTCCCAAAAACTATGAAATGAGGAAAATCCACCTCCTCCCATTTTGGTAGTTTTCTAGAAAAATAGTAACAGGGCATTTTTGAAACTTTTTGGGTGAAAAGAGAAAAGTACATAGGGAGTCACTTGAGCCTGGGAACTTTTTCCATACCGTTGGAAAATTGGCGGATTTTGCTGCTTTAGCTGATTTTGTTCTAGTTTTCACTGATTTTGTGCTAATTCTCACTGGTTTTGTATAAGTCAGCACAAAACCTGTTAGACCAGCAAACCATCAGTGAAAACCAACAAAAACCAGCACAAAACCAGCACCAACAAACTCCAGCACAAAACCAGCAAAATCCGCCGATTTTCTCACGGATCGAAAAAGTTCCCAGGCTCAAGTGACCCTATAGGTACCTAATGAGAGAAGTAAGCAGCTGATCATACTAAAACTTCAAATTAATCCAGTGAAAAACAAGAAGAAAAGAAATTCATGAAAATCTAATAAATCATAAATCAAAGAAAATGCACCCCATGATATTTTTATGATTATCTTGAGAAGTAGTGGGAAAAAAATTAGTTAAAAAGTTGGAAACATCATACTGAAATTGAAATTTTTTCCAGTGGAAAAAAGCCGAAAGAGAATTCCATGAAAATTAACTCCCAAAAACTATGTAATGAGGAAAATCCACCTCCTCCCATTTTGATAGTTTTCTTAAAAACCAGTAACAGGACATTTTTGAAACTTTTTGGGTGAAAAGAGAAAAGTATACGTAGGGGTCACTTGAGCCTGGGAAATTTTTCGATACCGTGGGAATATTGGCGGATTTTGCTGGTTTTGTGCTGGTTTCCACTGCTTTTGTGCTAATTTTCCCTGCTTTTTACTGGTTTAATGCTGGTTTTGTATAATTCAGCACAAAACTTGTTAAATCAACAAACAACAGTGAAAACCAGCAAAATCCAGCACAAAAGCAGCTAAACCAGTGAAAATGAGCAAAAAACTAGCACAAATAAACCAGCTAAACCAGCACAAAACCAGCCAAATCCGCCGCTTTTCTCATGGATCGCAAAAGTTCCCAGGCTCAAGTGACCCTATAATGAAAATCAAATAAATCATAAATCAAAAAAAAAAATGCACCCTTCACCTCATTACATTTTTATGATTTACTAGAGAATTAGTGGGAAGAAAATTAGTTAGAAAGTTAGAAGCTCATCATACTTAAATTGAAATTTATTCCACTGGAAAAGAGCCGAAAGAGAATTCCATGAAAAACAACTTCCAAAAAAAATGAAATGAGGCAAATCCACTTTCTCCCATTTTGATTGTTTTCTGGAAAACCAGTGAGAGGACATTTTCAAAACTTTTTGCTGAAAAGAGAAAAGTAGGTAGGGGGTTACTTGAGCCTGGGAACTTTTTCGATACCGTGGGAAAATTGGCCGATTTTGTTGGTTTGGTTGGTTTTGTGCTAGTTTTCAATAGCCTTCGATTTTTTTTTTTAAAAATTTTGAAAGCGTCCTAACTCGAAAACGATAAGCTCGGGAGAAGAACTTCAAATACAAAACTTATAGATCTTGTCGAGTACTACAAAAAAGCCTATAAGATATATCCCGCCACGAGATACCGTTTTCGAGAAAATCGACCTGGAAAATTTTAACAAAATTAAAAAGAATTTCAACTTTGACAGCTGATATCTCAAAGACGAAAACGGCCTGGAATCTCAATAAAAAAATATTTTATAGGTAATTTCATTCTCTTTCAAAAGAGATATATCTCGAAATGATCGGTTGAGAAATAGCGGAGCTATAAGCAGAAAAGTAACGTCGTGTCAGATCGGCGAAATTTTTATCTGGCCAAAATCGAAATATCCTTTTTTAATTTTTTCCCGGCTTCAAAATGCGTCATAGCAAGCAGGGTCCCGTAAGCTTTTCATCGTTTTTTTTGCTTCTCTATCCGATGGTTTTTTTTTGGAAATTCGGAAAAAAAAATTCAAAATTAAGAAAGATGGGGAGGCTAACTTTTTTCCGGTTCATCGGAGAGAACTGAAACTCATAATATCGACTAAAAATCACATTTTGAATATTCCCGATTTTTGATTGGCTCCAAATTATCCACTGACCAATAGAATTATAGACTGGGGGGGCCCGTGATTGAAATAACTCTAGCCCTGCGGGCTCGCGTATAACTCCGGCACTTCGGTCTCGCGTATATAACTCCGGTCCTTCGGGCTGGTATTATTTCGGCCCTTTAAGCTCGCGTATAACTCCGGCCCTTCGGGCTCATATTACTGAGTATCCCAGATTCACAGATTTTTGTCGTGGAGGCGCGGGATTGATTGAAATAATGTTGTTAGATTTTTCTAAATTACATTGAAATATCGAAATTTGGAAAGTGTAATTTGTGAATTATTATTTTAATTAGAATCAGGAATAAAAAACTAAGATTGAATTTTCAATTTTTTGAAACTGACGAGCCGCCACTAGAGCAAAGGGGGTGAAACCAGAAAATAAATCATAATGTCCTTCATTAAAAGACCCAAAATTGAAGATTACTCCAGTAGGAAGTCAAAGACGTTCCACGGTATCGTAAACTAGTGGTACCTCAAGCCGATCATCTTGACGCTGGCTTCTGAAATTATTTCAAATTAGTACCAATTATATGGACAAATAGTAGAGAGGTTCTCACCCAATCCAAATACTGGTCAGTCCTTAACTGGGACACACGTACTTTATGTACCTGAAATTCCAAAGTAAAACATAGGAAGATTGAAAAAAAAAGTTCAATTTATTGTTTATACTATATATTATTTAAAAAAATAAACAATTTAATTCTTACAGCCTATTTCCTACAAAATAAGTATTTTTTCGTACCTGAAACAAACAAAATAACGAAAAATTATTCCTTCCGGCCATCGATTCTCAATTTATTTTCCTGAACCGTGGCATCTAGCCTATCAAACATGGGAAAAACAAATTTATACACCTTTTTTCGCTCGTCCGTTAGAGCCTTGACATCACCAATATCATCGAACATGTCATCCAGTTTATCGATACACCGTCTCAGACTTTCTTCAATGTAATAGTGCGCATTGCTATTTTCAAGTTCAGTAAACTGATCGATTTTTTCGTGAAAAGGCTTAGCTTGTTCATAGATTTTGGTAAGCATCTCAATCATTTGATTGTATGTTTTAGAATCTAAAATAGATTCGGTTAAGTCGTCTATTAAATCGTTTTCATCGATTTCGTTGTAGTCTCTGAAAATTGGAACATAATCGCGGTTGTCTACCATTGATTTGGGCTTTTGTGGTATCATGGGTTTATCAGAAGAATCAATTTCCATAAAACCTTGATCTAATATGCTTGAATTTTGATGAACATCTTCATTTTCAAGTATTTGATTAGAAGTCTTCGAAAAATCTTTTTCACTACAAGTTCTAGTTGAGTTTCTTTCTTCGAATTGCTCAAGAGTTTCAATGCCAGCTTTTTCTAATTCATTTGATTCCTGATAACCAGCTTCATATAATTTATTTGCTTTTTCAGTTCGTTTTGGTCTCTCAGGTGGTTCATATGTATGACTAATAACTGTCTCAAAATTTTGATGACTTTGCATAGTGCTGCTGGAAGCAGCATGTGAATCATATGACGTAAAAGTTGAAGAAGGCGTTTTTGGCTCAGCATCGTCAGCCCTATGATCATCAACTTTATTTGAAACCGAATCATAAGTTTCCTTGTTTTCCATTGGATAATTGAGTGTAGAGCTTCGTTCTTTTTGTTTTAACCAAAGTTCATATAAAACTGATCTATTATGCTGTGAATCATATGACGTAGAAGGTATTTTGGCCTCAGAATTTTCAGCCCTATTGTTAGTATCACTAGGATCATCAACTTTATTTGAAATCGAACCATAAGTTTCCTTGTTTTGCAAGGGATAATTGAGTGTAGAGCTTGGCTCTCTTTGATCTAGAACTGATCTACTTATTGACATAGAAGGCATTTTTGCCTCAAAATGTTCAGCCCTATTGTTACCATAACCAAAATCATCAATTTTATTTAAAACGGGCCAATTAGTTTCCTTATTTTCCAATAGATACTTAAGTGTAGAGCTTGGTTCTTTTTGATCCGACAAAATAAAATCTAAAACTGATCCATTATGCTGTGATATTTGTGCATAATCAGTTCCCTTCATAGGTTGCAACCCTTGCTTATCATTATTGGTTGATTTTTTGAGATAAGTTTGTTGAGGTGATAATGGTTCTTTGATTTTGGGCCGCAACATTTGATCATTCATAAAACGTTTAGTTTGCGATTGTTGTTTTTCCATATCAATAGCAGTGAAGTTTGTGGTATTACAATCACTATTTTGTTCATTTCCTTTCCAAGCTGTTACTTTAGATAAAGGAACATGATCTATTTCAGGTTTTGATTGAAGTGATTGTTGTCTATTTCGCGTATAAGTGTTGGGATTATCTGCATTAGATTTTCTAACAACTGTTAATCCGCTATTAGGAAGTTTAATTTTTGAAGGTATTGTTGAAGCCTCGCTGTAACAAGGCTTTCGTGGCGGCCTGTTTAAATGTTGTTTTGTTGATTGATTAGTTTCTGGTCTTTTTGCATGGGATCTAGTTGGTTGTTCCTCTACAATGGGTCCTGAAGATGATGGGTGATTAAATCTTCGTCTAGGCTCTCCATCTGTGAATATTCACATATTAGAACAGGTTTGTGATTATTTTGTTAGATACAACAAATCTATTGGCCTACCTGCATTGCTGATTTTCGGTATACTAGGGCAGCACCCCATTGAAGGACCTGGAAATGAAAAAGAGAATGAAGCATCTTTGAGAAGATATAGATTTATATATTATTAAAGCCAGTGTTTTGTTCCAAAAGACCAGTAGCTTATGCGGTAATGGATCAAGTCGAGATGAGAGATGAGAATTTTGGGAGTTTGTGAAATTCGTCTATTATATCCAAAGTGAAATATTCTGACTGGGCAGCATCAATAGTTGTTTTCAGAAAGACTAACAAAAATGTGGGAATTTCTTCATTCACATCATTATATAACCATTATCAACTGTTGAAGACATATTTTCCAAACTTACAAACGCCACAATATTCAGTATTGTAGATCTTTCTGACGCATTTCTTCAAATTGAAATAGATTAAAATTCCAAACATTATTCAACCATCAATACATATCAAGGTTAATTTCAATATAATTTTGCCTTTTGGTATCAAAGTAGCACCATCTACTTTCCAACAGATTATACATGCTATAATGTAAGATTACAAGGTACTGCAGCATCTGTAGATGACATTCTGGTTTACGGACATGTAATGTTCTAAAAAAAAATGAAGATTTAGGCTTTAATATAAAAGTCAAGAAATATGTATGTTTGAGGTTAAAGAAATTCGATATTTGAAGCATATTTTGAATATGCAAGGTTTAAAGTCAGACCCTTTAAAAACAGAAGCTATTCAGCGAATGCCACCACCTCTGGATATGACGTCGTTGAGGTCATTTCTTGGAGCCATAAATTACTAGGTATGGAAAATTCATCAAGAGCATTAAATACCTACTTTGAGAAACCCATTGAATAAACCTTTGAAGAAAAATGCGAAATTTTAAGGTACAGAAGACTGTCAGAGGTCCATTTGAACGGTTTAAAAAGTTCTTCAGTCAGATCTTCTATTTACTCACTCACTACAGTCCACAACAGCAGTAGACGCAAGCAATCTGGTTATTAGAGGATGTATTTTTCATAGATTTGAAGATGGATACACAGCAAAAAAAATTGCAGGGATGGGAAAACCACAGAGTTTGGTCATACAGATGTTTTATCAAGATTGATGAATAGCAATGTGGATGATGTGGATAAGAGGGAAGATACAGTAATTTCTTCTGTGCAAGTTGAGTCGGAGGTTTGTCATATTTTTGATGAAACACTGAACATTATCAATCACGTTGAAAAATACCTATCAGGAAACATGCAGAGACAATGTATTGAGAAATATTTCGTACTACGTTCAATATTCATGGCCTTTCAAACATCAACAAAATGTAGATGAAATGATGTTTTATTTACGAAAAGATGATTTATGTAAGTTTAGGACGAGTATATTTGATGTTTGGAAACCGAATTAAATAGTAGTTCAAGTATATACTCAAACAGTTACATGTAGGAAACCCTGGACAAGCTCGTATGAAATCAATAGCGAGAAAGTTATGTTTACTGGCCCAACATTGATGAGACATCACAAAATTTGTTCAAAATTGCTATTCATGTGCAGAATCTGCAAGGACATCAAGAAAAAAGATATCACCTTGGCCTATTACACATAATGTTTGGGAGAGACTTCACATAGACTATGCAGGTCCTGTTAATGGAAATTATTATCTAGTACCTAATCATAGATGCCTTTTCCAAAACTTTAAAATTCACGATTTTGAAGCTAGAAGAAATTATTTCCAGATTAGGAATTCCTAATACTGTTGTATCTGATAATGGTTCATAATTTACTAGTGAAAATGTTCAGAATTATACGGTTCAAAGAAGGGCATTCAACATATTCGTATAGCCCTATACTCACCACAATCCAATGTTCAAGCTGAAAGATTTGTGGATACATTGAAAAGAGCCTTGGTTAGAATGAAAAGGGAGGAACAACCAGAGGAAGAACATAGTGCAAATGAGCTGAAATTTTCAGGGATTGTAGTCCCTTTATTGAGATAAGATTCAGTGAAAATTTCAGCTTCCTATCTATAATAGATAAATATGCCCTTCCAAAGTTTTCCAAAATCTAAATCATCAGCTACCTTCTTACTAAAACGATGAAATTTCAATTTTTTTTTTGTTGAGATTTTGTATCCTAATGGTCAATTAACATCCGCCAAACTCCATACACTAAATTATTCTCAGATTTGGAGCCGAAATCTTTGAAAAAAGGCACTCAGAAAAATTGATAAATTGATAAATCACCCCAAATTGCTTAACACGATTTTATCTTAGGAACTATAAGTGCAAATGAGTTGAAATTTTCAGGGATTGAAGTCCTGTACTGGAATAAGAATCGCTGAAAATTTCAGCTTTCTATCTATAACAGAAAAAAAGTTATGCCTTTCCAAAGTTTTCCAAAATCTAAATCATAATTTCATCTACTTTCTTACTAAAACGATGAAATTTCACTATATTTTTTTTTTGTTGAGATTTTGTATCCTGATGGTCAATCAACCTCCCCCAAACTCCATACACTAAATTATTCTCAGATTTGAAGCCGAAATCTATGAAAAAAGGCACTCAGACAAATTGAAAAATTGATAAATCACCCCAAATTGCTTAACACGATTTTATCTCAGGAACTATAAGTGCAAACGAGCTGAAATTTTCAGGGATTGTAGTCCTTTAACAGTGATAAAATTAAGTGAAAACTTCAGCTTTCTATCTATAATAGCAAAAAAATTATGCCCTTCCAAGGTTTTCCAAAATCTAAATCATACCTTCTTACTAAAACGATGAAATTTCTAATTTTTTTTTGTTGAGATTTTGTATCCTGATGGTCAATTAACATCCCCCAAACTCCATACACTAAATTATTCCCAGATTTTAAGCTGAAATCCATGGAAAAAGGCACTCAGAAAAATTTAAAAATTGATAATTCACCCCAAATTTTATCTCAGGAACTATAAGATATCAGTTCTCTAGATGAAAAATCCCAAGCAGAACATTTATTGGAAAAAGAAAAATGCGGAGAGTAATGGATTTGCAGATGCCATAAAACAAATCAAGCATTGTAGATAAATACCAAGAATCACAATAGAAGAAATATTCTTAATGATGATCATGATCATCACTTTCATCATCATAGAGAATTTCAACCAGAAGCTTTGTTACATGCAAAAAGATTCAGAACGAATTCTTATACTTGGATACCGGGGGTAATTATTGAAAAAATTGGAAATGTTTCCATGAACCAGTTGATCATCGACGTCTTCTCCGATTACATGTCAATCAACTGAGAAGAAGATATAATGATCAGGTGGAAGAAATCAACATTGAAATTCTACTACATTTGTTATTGGATACTTTCAATATAAATATACCAAATCATGACCTACAAATAGGAAATAAAAACATGAGGAACATTCATCAATTCATCCTACTACAACATCTCCTCAAACAAATTGATAACACAAAGAAGCCACAATGGAGCCTCAAATGAAATAGAGGATTTAAACACTAAAACAGTAACGATTTCATTTTAGTTTTTTCCAGAAAGACTAACGAAAATGTGAGAATTTCTGGGGATTATTCTACTAGATTGAATAAGGCATCAATATCACATCATTATCCATTAGACCAACTGCTAAAGATATATTTTGCCTTCTGGTATCAAACTCGCACCATCTATTTTTCAACAGATTATGGATTCTATGCAAGAGGAAAAAATGTAGGAGAATGAAACATACTTTTTCACCTGGGGATATGTATGTCAGTGATGATTGGCAATTGATAGTTCGGGGCTGAGGAAATCATATTTTCTTACTATTTTAATCAATTGTATTTATAGTATTATTAAATATTGTACAGAAGACATTTTTTTATGGAATAATATATATATTCATTTTTTGTTAGTTAGATCTGGTTTGTTATAACTTCATTTTGTAGGTACATAAGTATTTTTGTAACGTGGTTTGCCCGTTTATTAATATCTAAATAAATAATACAACACATATTACTACTCATGTCCCTTCATTAATAGTCGATGATATTTCCTTATCAATATAATTTTCCTGCATTACGGACCTGGAACTATTATAATATAACTAACAGGACGAATTAAGCATGCGCGCAGCCTAATCAACTAAATTCTTATAGGTTTTGATAAACATTAACATTAACGTACGCTGTAACTCACCAATTCGTTTTTTTATTCCTCTAACAATTAGCATACTATTCCCGAATAAACCACGGTATAGATTTAACCAAACTTTCAGAATTTCCCATAATAAACAGGCAAAACTTTTCGGAACGTACACCCACCAAAACCATAAAATGTTCCGACATATTTTAATGAAATAATAAACACTAATCCGCATGACTAATAATTTTAAGGCATAACTTTGTTGTTGGCGTCAACTAAACACAGTGTAATCTTATCTCATAAAAAGTTGTAATGATAAACAGTACAAAGTGCATTAAATAAATGCAAAATTTATTTAAATGTTGAACTGACGGATTATTAAGGTAGTACTAGGGCCTGCAATATAATCCGATGCATTGAAATTTTTTGCTTACCGTAGGTATTTCGAAAAACTGATTCCAAAATCACTAATTTGCTTACGGATTGCAACTTAATAATGAGATATGCAATCAGTTAAAAGATAAAACTTAAATTGACATAAAGTGAGATATATGTAAGGTGAATAAAAATCTGATTAGTCAGTAGCTATAGGGGTAAAAAATTTCTTGAACTTCACTGGATGACACAGAACTACCTATTCGTTAAAAAGTTCTTAATCCATGCAACTCCCATGCAAAATCCCATTGACTCAAACCCCGCTAAAATGTATGAAAAACTATCCTTAACAAATAAAAATGCATAAGTATTCTGGATTTTTGTATTTTTTCCGTGTCAAGCCCATTAAAAATTAACAAAGTGTACAAGTGAAATAACAAGTAAATAATAAAAGCAAAATGCCAATCAAAGTAGATAAAGCAGAAACAAAGAATGCAATACAACAAACCATGATACTTGATTAATTTAAATAAAATCAAATTAAGTTAAATCAAACTAAATACAAAATCACACAATAAAATAACAATAATTATAATTAGATGCCAGTGACAGTTCTCGCAAATGGTTCATAGGGCCCAAAAAAATCAATGTCTCCCAGCTCATTACACGATCTGAGGGTACGAGGAATGAAACAGTAATATGCATAGTTGGTTCTGTGAAATTGAAGATGAAAAGTTTCAGATGTGCGGGTGTTACATGATGGGACATGTAGGGCTATTTTAAAAGTCAAGTAGGGGCAATCAATTGTGGAATTTAGGATTGTATGTATCAGTTTGAGGTCTTTCTGCTTCCCTCTTGAGCAAAGGGTTGATAAGTTGAGTGCGTTACAAAGTGGTGCATAATGAAATTACTCATCGTAAAAAAAATTGTAATTGAGATATCTGCAAAATTTAGGCTGCACACGTTCAAGGCGATGAATATGACAGGCATAGTTTGGACTCCAAGCAGATGCAGCATACTCAAGATGTGTACGAACAAATGAGAAGTATAACGTTTTGATGGAGTTGATATTCGCAAATTCCCTTGTACTACGCTTCACAAACCCAATCATCCGAAGTGCTTTGTTAACAATGGCATCGATGTGTGAAGAGAAATCAAGATTGGAGCACAGCAAAACACCCAGATCCCTGATCTGATTCACGCAATTGATGTGATATATGCAGTCATTGAAGGTTCTAGACTTGTGGAATTTCATAACTTCACACTTCGTAACATTAAGTTCCATGCCATTAGTTTGACATCACTGAATTAACCTGTCAAGATAATCTTGCAATGCATGGCAGTCATCAGGAGTAACGATTTTGAAAAATAATTTCAAGTCATCGGCAAAAAGAAGAAATGAAAAGTGTAGGAAACAAGAATATATGTCATTGATCAACAGGTTGAAAAGCAGTGGACCTATATGCGAGCCTTGAGGAACACCTAATGACACCAAGATTTGGGAAGAGGTAAAGTTGTTAATATGAACTATCTGTGTCCTTTCTGTAAGATAGCTTCCCACCCATTGAAGCAGAGAGCAGAGATGCCAAGTCTCTCTAGTTTTTTGAGTAGGACTAAATGATTGACTCTGTCAAACGCCTTGGGGAAGTCGGTGTATATAGTATGTACCTCCTCACCCCTCTCCAAGGCGCCTGTCAGAAAGTCAGAGTATGTGAGAAAAATAATTTTCGTTGATGACCTCTTCTTGAAGCCAAACTGCTCGGATATAATTTCGCTGTTTAAAGATGATGATAAAAATTTTGTGACAATATTCTCAAAGATTTTAGGAATTACACTGATAATGCAAATTGGGCGATAATTAGTCACATCTGATGAGTCACCGGATTTAAGAATCGGCATCACATACCTGGCTCTCCAATACTCAGGGAAGGAGCCGTCTCTCAGGGACATGTTGTAAATTATATGCAAGGGTGTGGACAAAACAGTAGTTTTTTAGAAAGAGCCGGTGGATATGGTCAGACTCTGGTCCCTTGTTTGGGTCGATGTTATTTAGCTCCATGTAGATGTCAGAGATAGGAATAGTGAAATCAAATAAATCGTGAGGATATAGAGAAAGTTGATCAAGGAAATCCAATACTTGATTAGTATAGACTGAACCAAGGTATTCGGCAAAGAGTTCATCAGCTTGGGAACCCAAAGATATTTTTTTCTGTATAATGAGTGCCTTCAAATCCTGTGAGAACCATTTGGGAAACCTTCCACTGGCTATTCTTTCAACAGGTACAAAGAGATCAAAAGCTTCATATGAAAAACTATAAAGAATGTTAATCATATCATTCACAGAATTGTTCAAAATCAGCTCATCCCAGGAAATAGAGCCAAGAAAATAGTTTACGTCGTTGAAGTTTGTGGCTTTGAAGTCATATTAGTATCAATCTCCTTGTGGATTTGAATTGCAGTGATTCTGTTGCAATGTGGCTTGAAACAACAGGGGTGGATGTTTATTATCCAACGGAAGCAGGTAGTCATCTTCATCTGGCTGAGCTATAGGGATCCTTGAGTGGCAGAATATCAAGTCAAGGGTGACATTATTGATATTATAAATGTTATTAAGCTGGTATAGATTGTGAAAAGCACATTCTTCTAACTTCTGACATATGTTGTATTTGATTGATGGCTTTGGGAAGATTGAAATCCCTCATGATGCAACATTCATTATGGTTGAATTGTTCAGAGATATCTTCCAAGTTGTTACTAAAGCTTTCGTACTTCTCAATTGGGGAGTTTGGTGGGAGGTCTACGCAGCCCAGGACCATTTTTTTTACCACTGCCCACAACGATAAAAACTAATAGGCCGACCAATCAGATCCGATTTTTAGTCGGCCTATTAGATGGTCATCAGTAAATACAGCAAAAGTGCGCTGTTTAGTGTTGAATCCTAGTCTCAGATGGCGCCACGATCCAATTTCGCTCGTCGTTTAACTTGTATGCTCTGCTCGCCCTGATCCTGGTGTCTTTTCAGATCCTCCAACGCTGTTCTTTCAAGTTCTCTCTGTCTAAGTGTCAAGTCACATTTTATGTAGATTTGTTTGCCTTTGAGTTTTTGTCGATTGCGAAGCGCAGTCTGAACTTCATATGGTGATCCCAATACAGCTCGCATAGAGCATGCATTATTTGAGTTGGGCTTGCCAAAGCCAGACACCCGACAAAGCGTAAATTGAGTGCCAATCAGTAACCGTAGTATAGAGCGAACCTCTGAAAAATCATCTTCTGACGCAGATAAGTTGAAGAGTAGTAAATTATTAGCTTTACTCTGACGGTCATGAAGTTCAGTTAGCAAATCAATAGATGGAGTGGAAGGTGGTGGTGAAGTCGTTGAAGGAACCTGTTGGGTCGGTGTATTTGTGGTAATGGATTCCAAGCGAGTGATTCTTTCCTCAATAGAGGTTGTAGCGGTGACCACACACTCTTGAATTAACGTTGGTAAGTTATTTTGTAGATCCTCAAGAGATTTTTGAAGTTTTTCCGATATCCAAAGAGTTCGTTTTTCGATTTATTGGGTTCTTTAAAAATGACTGCTGCATCAACCTGACATTTTAGGTTATCCCAAAATTTTTAGCAATACCTTGACTTTATCGCGGTTTATTTTATTCACAAATGGACACAAGCACTCAGACAACACACTGGCGTGATATTTGCATTTGATTTTGTAGGAGATAATGAAAAGGAAAATCTTTTAAAATTTTAACTGAGGTTCGTAAATAAAACCTAACCTTACATAATATTGGGATTTTTGTATTCTGTTCTAACTTGAACTTCCAGCATAGCCAAAAAATTATTAAGGTATTTTAAAAACAGCCCTATGATTTGCCTCCGATCAGGCATCAAAGCTATGAAGATATTCCTAGGACAAAAAGAGAGGAAGTTAGAACAACCACAAATAACATGATGGATGAGCTTCTAGACAAAAACATAACGACTACAAACATATAGGCGTATTAGGTATTCATTTACTTTATTTTACCTTTTTGAACCGGTTATCTACATCTTCAATGGTCGAACAGCTTTTGGCAAGAACAATATAAAACACAAATTTAAAATAAACAGTTCTTTAGGTTAAACTATGTTAAAGCAACATTATTTATAAATTTGATTTCTCCTCATTCTTATTAAAGAACTACTTAAATGTCAATTTCGCGTAAAACATACAGGAGTGTATTTTCTACGACCCTGCGCCGACCCTTGAAGATTTGGATTTACACTACATACTAGATCAATGGTACTTGATATGCACGTTGTTTTTTTACCGGTTCCGTGTTTTACGCTCAAAAGGTCTATGTCTTCTGCCGTTAAAAAGGGACCTTGAGTGCCTTAAGTCGATGGTGATACGTTGGTGGTTGTGGAGAACCGTTTTCCAGGGGATCCCCGTATATACGCACAGCTTATAAGAAAACCCAGGTGAGTGGTAATAACTTTTGTGTGTTTCGACAACCCTATGGTATCAATTTCATTTCCATTTCTATTTGTTTGCGCGATTTTCAAGTCGCAGTCCAGGGCCCGTATTCTCGTCACCGGGGAAGAGCGTTCCCTCAAGAGAACGATTGCTCTGTCTTCAGCCTAAGGCTCTGGGGGGGGCAAACCAGTTTTCGCCGGAGGCGGAAATTTTTTGAGGTGCCACGCACAAAAGCCATTAAAATTACACATCTTGATGGCATATTCGCGCGCTTCTACTTATATATAGGACAAAAATAATTATTTTCCTAACAAGTGCGCAAAGTGATACTTTCCCGCACGAAAAAGCAGTTAGACGAACGACGCGAAGCCGAGTTCGTATAAGCTTTCAGTGCGGGAAAGACACTTTGCGCAAGTGTTAAGAACGATACTTTTTCTACGAGTGTTTGAAGATTTGCATAGCATCCAGAGGAGCTATACCTAATCTTTTTCATGTTTCCAGATGCTCAAAACTGGTAATTTTCTCTCTTAGTCCAAACTCCAATGTGTTTTTTTTTTCTTCAGTGATCAGCTTGACTTTATTTGCAACAGTGGTTGTGCTAGCGAGGT